GCTCTGTTCCTACTCCAGTCCTCTGAAGATTCCTGCCACAGAGCCTGGAAAAATGTTAGGAAGAACAATCTTCAGAACACAGCCAAAGAGCCCGAAAAACCCACAACAACCATCAGATCCCAGCTGTGAAAGCCTTCAAGAATACATGGATTCCTACTTTCCTCCTACATTTTCGTTGCAAAAAAGCAGCTTTCCCCCTCCAGGTTTTGCAAAGAAAATGGAGGGGGATAGCAATTTCTGTTTTCCCCCTACATTTTCATTGCAAAATGTGGAGGGAAAAAGCTGCTTTTTGCAACAAAAATGTAGGGGGAAAGCAGGAATCGCTTTCCTCCTCCACTTTCTTGCAAAGAAAGAAATTTGGGGTTAGAAAAGTGGGGGGCGTCTTATACATGGGGGCATCTTATGCACAGAAAAAAACGGTAAATTATTTTAATTCAATAGGGCTACATTACTTTATACTTATGATTGGGTTTAGGCCATTGTGATTTTAAAAATTAGAACAAATGACGAAGGCTGAAATCCTATAGAAATTTGTGTAGTGTAAAGTAATGCCAGTAGAAGTTTACAGGTACTCCTCATGTCTGATTGTGCAACTGGTTGTGTCACTAGTTGGGAAAAAGATTGCACAACTGATTGCGCAACCAGTTACAAAACTGCACCCCTGAAACTGCCTCCTGAATAGAGCTTCTGCTCTGGTGCAGAATTGGCAATGGCTTGTGCTGCTTCAAGTAGTGGACCTATAGCTACCCAACAGGATTTTGGAATCTTCTGTTGTATTTTAAAACAGTTTATTATGTTTGAAACACACATTTTGGAAAAGAGAATTATGTCAAAGTGATGGCTACATTTAAAGTGTGTGCTTTTATGTACAGTGTTTGTTAATAACCCAACAGTTTATATATTAAACAATCAAGAAATCATGCAGGAAAACTAACTATAGAAAAATCATATAAAATAAAATAACAAAGTTGTTAAAAACCATAAAAGAGTAGAACACTTCATTGAAATTCCTTAAAACAGTAAAATTAATTTATTAGGCTAGCAATCAGGAAAACGATTTGTACCTCTTTTGGTTTCTAACGCTCCTCTTAGCTTATAATCAGTTTCTAGGTAAAAAGTGTGAAAGTCTCATTTTGAAAAGATGATATTAGGATAGAATTGATTTTTGAAGTGGTGATGAAAAAAATAATGATGATTAGAGAATTTTTATTTCCAAAAACTTGCATAGATATTTTTTTTGTCTTAATAAAAATGCATTTTAAAATGTTTCAGGTTGTGAGGGGGAAAGAAGGGAACCCACCAAGATAAGCAACACTGTAAATTTATTTTCTGTATTTTACACCCCTACCTAGGTTTCTTTGGAAGCAACCTGCCGGACTACCATCGTTCTGAGATTATGATGTTCATTATGGGAAAAGTCCCCGTTCTGGGTGCAACTTCACACACTCTGGATACCCACCAACTTGGGTGAGTTCATTTTATTCTGTGTTTTCTACTCCCCATGATAAATGTTATGATTCTGCGTAAACAGGCAAGAGAAAGAATATGATGGATGGGATTACAGTTGTGCCCCGCTTAACAATTACCCCGCATTACGACAAATCCGCTTCACGACAATGTTTTTGTGATCGCAATTGCGATTGCAAAACGATGTTTTGAACAGGGTTTTTTCGCTTTGCGAAGATCTGATCACTGGGAGACATGCCCTAGTTACTTCCCGGCTGGATTACTATAGTGCATTTTTGTGGCGATGGAAAGTGTCAGGAAACCTCAGCGGGTTCAAAATGCAGCAGCCACATTACTGATTGGGGCTGGTTACAGGGACCACATCCCCCCCCCGCTACATCAGCTCCAATGACTTCCTATAGTTTCCGGGCACAATTTAAAGTGTTGGTTTTAACCTATAAAGCCCTAAATGGCCTGAGTCCAAGCTATCTCAAAGACTGTATCTCCCACTATGAGCTGGCTCGGGTGTTAAGATCACCAGGAGAAGCCTTTCCCTCAGTCCTACCATGTTCACAGGTGGGTCAGATGGGGATACAGGAGAGGGCCTTGTCTGTGGCTGCCCCCAGACTTTGGAACTCCCTCCCACAGGAGACCAGAGTGGCCCAATCTTTGCTGTCCTTCCGCAAGCAGGCAAAGGCCTTTCTCTTCATGCAAGCCTTCCCTCAGTAACAGAGGGGGGAACCAACAGAAATTGAGCAGAAGGGACCTTGCATAATTAGCAGGAAGGATACCCTCAACTCCCCATGTTCCGGTTTCTTCTCTGTAGGTCAAACACATTGCAACATGAATTGCTGGATAGCTCAGTGGTTTAGTATAATTAGCAGGAAGGATACCCTCACTCCCCATGTTCCGGTTTCTTTTCTATAGGTCAAGCATGTTGCAACATGAATTGCTGGTTTAGGTGTCTGGCTATGGAGCCAAAGTTTGGGAGTTCAGTTCCCCACTGTGTCCTTGACAAGGGCTGGGCTCAGTGATCTATAGCAGTGATGGTGAACCTATGGCTGTCTGGCTGTGGAGCCAAAGTTTGGGAGTTCAGTTCCCCACTGCGTCCTTGACAAGTGCTGGGCTCAACGATCTACAGTATAGCAGTGATGGCGAACCTATAGCACGCGTGCCACATGTGGGCCACAGAGCCCTCTCTGTGGGCACGTGAGCCATAAGTCGCTGGATCGCTACCGCCAGCAGCCAAACCTGAGGAGGCAGCTGTAGCTGCTGTGCTAGTGCCCCGACAGGCAGCGAGCCAGGATCCGGAGCAGCTGATGCTGCTGGTGATGGGCCAGCCGAGCTATAGTCAGTGGTGGGGTTGGGCATGACGGGTGACGGATCTGGAGTGGGGTCTGGAGGCACCTCCATGCCCAGGATTCCCCCTTCTGCCACCACGTCTGCTTCTGCCGCCACCACTAGGTTGTCCCCCCCTCCAGTTTGGACCCTTGGGCTCAAAAAGGTTCGCCATCACTGATCTATAGGATTCCCTTCCAGCTGTGCAGTTTTAAGATTATTAGTATAACGTAGGCAGAGTGAGGTGGTCCCCTGGGGCAGCACCAGATGCTAGGATGTCTGCTGACCCAGAGGGACAGCCCAAGGTTTTCTCCTGCTCTTGAAACGGATTCTGTTTTCATTTATTTATTTGGCACATGATTGGCAAGATGCGTGGAATTCGGTCAATGGGATGTTCAGCACCAGAGGTCCAAGAAAACTCTTTTACGCCCTTAGGTCCCACCGGGAGGCTGCTCCAGCCCCTTAAGAAAAGCAAACATTACCAAATACACGATGGATCGACCCCCTAAATGAAGCCATGGGCTTCAGTCTGCCAGACCTGAGCTGTGCAGTTGAGGACAGTATATTTTTGAGATCCTTCATTCACAGGGTTGCCATATGTCAGGGGCAACTTGACAGCACCTAACAAGAAGAAAATGACCCACCAGAAGGTGCAGCTGGTGTTCTAGTGGTGATGCTTTTCTCTGCCAGTTTTGGGGTTGAGTCACCCGTTGGGACACAAACCATCCCAATTTATCTGTGGAGCTGAAAGACTCGTTGGGACATAAACCATCCCAATTTATCTGTGGAGCTGAAATCATCCAGCTTTTTGGGGCGCTGGGGGAGTTGAGGGACGTAGCCCAACGCTGTGCGGCTCGGAAAAACTCGCCCTGCGAAGCTTGGTGAGCCCGGCACTCCAGTCAGGCTGGGTGGCTGAGGGCCCTAACGCCAAGAGAGGCCCGGTGGGAAAAAAACAGAAATCAGGCCTTCTTGGCAGTGGCCCCTTGGCTTTGGAACAACTTACTTGTTGAGATCCGCCTGGCTCCCTCGCTGAGGGCCTTCAAGACTAACTTGAAGACATGGCTATACAGGCAGGCCTTCCCTACAGCCATTACCTAGCCTATCTCCCCTTTTCTTCTTTTTTCTTTTCTCTCCTCCTCCTCCTCCTCCTCCTCCTTTTCCCCCTCTTTCTTTTTTCCTTTTCCATCTTTCATTAATCTGGATTTTATCTTAGTTAATTTTTATATCTTCTTCCCCTTTTTCTTTTTCCTTTCCCGTCTTGGATTAATCTGAATTTTATCTCATCTTATTTTTTATATTATATGTAAACCGCCCAGAGTAGACTCGTTCCAGATGGGCGGTATAATAAATCTAATAAATAAATAAATAAAAATAAACAAACTTTTGCATCTGTTTCAGTTTACCGCTCCTTGAAGTCTGATGCTAGGAAAAGTTCAAAGACCGTCTCTGGAGAGAAACTGTAGTTAAAGAACATGAGCGTCCTGTTTCTGCACCAGAATAAAAAATATAATTTGTCTTGTTTTTGAGGTTGAACCCGATAACCCATTAGGCCTCTCCAGCGTTCCGATGCTAAGCCTTCAGATCAGTTAACAAATTAGTCTGCATCTGCAGTAATTCATTGGGGATTCATCCATATGCTTAATGGAGCCTAGCAGCCTTTAGTGGCTGATGGGAAGAGATTCAGCTTTCTTTAAAAAGAAAACCCTGGGCCGACATTGCAAAGGTTGTCTAATTCAAGCATGATTGATTCGGCGAGTTTCAGAGAAATGCTTCTTTTCTAAGAGAGGAAGTCCGTCGATGAATGCACTTCTGATAAAACATTTGAATAACTCAGAACTGTTTAGCCCCACACAAGGCGAACACGTTTAGTGTAGATTCAAATAAATACGTTGTTTTTAAAATTCGTTTTCAATAGGAATAGGATTGGGGGTAGGGGCGGGGGGGATAGATATGGGTGGAGGGAAAGGTACAATTCCAGAGAGCAAGAGAATACTTTTCCATCCACTTATGCAATTGTTTTCAATGGGAATAGGATTGGGGGTAGGGGCGGGGGAATAGATATGGGTGGAGGGAAAGGTAAAATTCCAGAGAGCGAGAGAATACTTTTCCATCCACTTATGCAATTATATTAAAAGAGGAAGATTTTTTTAAAAAACACAATTTAACAAGTTTTACCAGAATTGCTATAGTTACTAATCTCTCCGTTCCCTAGTTGGACCTTTACATTCTTCTTTTATCTATGCTCTTCCAATCCATATTTCGAGTCCAGCTGTAAAATCATTCCCAGTTTTTCAGTCCTTTCTGTAATGACCTTTCATTTAGTGCTCCTGTTAGTATGTCCATCTCCGCCCCTTCCAGTATCTTCTGTCAGGTCTTCTAGTATTTATGCTTTCTTCCAGTATTTCCTATAGACTATCCTAGCTGCAGTAATTGCATGTATTATCAAATGTCTTGTTTCTTTATCTACAATCTCAGGCATACTATTCAATAGAAACAATTCAGGTTTAAATGGTATCGCACAAGATCCATTTTTTCAACAATTCATGTACAAATCTCTAGTAATTTTTTGCTTCCCTACAAGTTCACCAAACATGATAGAAAGTAAGGTAAAGGTAAAGGTTCCCTTGACATTTACTTCAGTCGTGTCCGACTCTAGGGGACGGTGCTCATCCCTGTTTCCAAGCCGTAGAGCCAGCGTTTGTCCGAAGACAGTTTCTGTGGTCACGTGGCCAGCACCACTAGGCACGGAACGCTGTTCCCTTCCCACCGAGGTGGCACCTATTTATCTACTTGCATTTTTACATGCTTTTGAACGGCTAGGTTGGCAGGAGCTGGGACAAGCGACGGGAGCTCAATCAATTGTGTGGATTCGATCTTACGACAGCTGGTCTTCTGACCTTGCAGCACAGAGGCTTCTGCAATTTAACCCACAGCGCCACCACGTCCCTTGATTGATAGAAAGTACCTTACATGATAGAAAGTATTTTACATTTCCAACACTTGTTGGAAACATTTTCATACACTGAACACCCTGTCTTTCTTAAACAAGTTCCCATACCTAAGACATTTTGTTGGATCCATTAAGGTTGACTTTATAAATGCTTCTAATGATGACAGGCACCCCAGAATTTTATGGTACATTTGTTTTTGTATCTTATGCCAAATCCATAACAAAAACTTGTTTATCGTGTGATTATTAAAGACTTTATGGCTTTTAGCTTTTTGATACCATAAAAAAGCATGCCACCCCAGGCTAAGACCCTAGAATTTTTGCTTTCTGCCCATTCATTTTCATTCCCGCTGTCTCCCCAAAAGCAAACAAATACGTTTTGAGATCAAAAGCCAAAGCTGCTCCGAGGAAAAATACTGCAAATGCTGGGATCTGGAATGCCTAGATTTTAAGGATGTAAAGTGTAGCCGGAAAGAAACCCCAATGCATTATCTGTGGGCAGAGGATTAACTTCTCTGCATGTTCCAATTATTAATAGTGGTGTTTTTGTTCATTGCTAAAGGAAGTACTAGAATCCTGTGTATTTTCATTTGCAGGTTTAACTGGAACACATTAATGCCTGGAGTTATTTATTGGTCCACTTATTTTATGTGCTTTGTCATGGATATATGCCCTTAAAACAACCATTAACCATGAATGTGTTTGTTATGTACCATCAAAGTTGGCAACGTGGTGGATTAATGACCTCCCAAAAGTCCTCTCAGCTTTGCTCAGGCGTGGATGGGTTGTGTATTGAGTTGGCCCATCTCACCTTATGTCTCCCTCTTTAGAGGTGGGGAAATCTGCTTTATTCCTTTCACAGTCAACATTTCTGTCCTGAATATGTCCTTTCTAGCCCACATATGAAGAAGTAAGTGGATCTTGATTAAAACTGGAAATGAAATTCTTTCCCGTTTCCTCTTCCAAATTCCAAAGGTTACAGGTATTCCCAGTGTAAAGGGGGCACCACAACATGGTGGCCAGAACTGACCCAGGACAAGGGACCTGTGGTGTCCGGTAGTTGTCCAATTAGCTGTAAGATGCAGCAGAACTCTGCTGGAGAGGAAGATTAAAGCAGCAAAATGTCTTCCTCTGGAAGGAAGTGCATACTGAAGAAAGAGAGGATGATTCCTTCCCTTTGCCACTGCCCTGCCATCTCAGATTCTGAATTGTGGGGGAGATAGAATTGTGATGTGATGGCCAGGCTTTGTGGAGGATAAATCTCAGCTGAAGCATGTTTCCTGTTACGTGTCATCTGTTTAGGATAATATGGAGACTGGGGGGGTTTTGTGTGCGCCCACCCATCATAGTAAAGATCATGGTGTAGCTGCCACAATTTTTTTAAGGTTGTTCAAGAAGAGTCAGTGATAAGCGATTGTAACTCTGATTTGGCACTAACAAGGCTCAATAGGCAATGATTTAGAGCCAGACTTGAGATACACCTGGATGGGAAAATCCCTTAAGTTCCACTATCCAATCATGAAATCAGTAAATCTTGATCAATCCTTGTGAAATAGAACATTCAATATAATTCTCAGTCACTCATGACAGCTATAAGAAGTCTCCGTAATTGGGAGAATGGCAGTATTTGATAGCAAATTCTGGAAAAAGGACTTTTAGTCTTGTTAATCATGTGCTGTCAAGTCAATTCTGACTTACAATGACCCTGTCTTGGGTTTTCCAGGTAGAGAATACTCAGAGGTGGTTTACCCTTCCCTTCTTCTGGGGGTGCCCTGGGACTGTGCAGCTTGCCCAAGGCCACCCAGGCTGGCTTTATTCGCAGGAGGCAGAGTGGGGAATCAAACTCCGAACCTCTGGCTCTGAAACCAGATGCCTAAGCTACTCAACTCTCCAGCCAGCTGCCTTGATCTTATTACCTGACCGTATAGATATTCTTAGATGCATTTGGCTGTCCAGTTGTGGAAAACCGACTGTGCACGATGTAAATTCTAGATCTTGAGATGCCTTTTTTTGGGGGGGGTGACAGCTCGCAGCTGCCAAGAGGTTTTTGAGATCTGTCATCCAGAAATAACCATTTTCCAAACTTGGTTCTGATTTAACAGGGCCTTCTTGATCTGTATTTTTACCAAAGTTTGAGAGAGAGATATACTGTGAGCCTCATTATTCATCGTTAGTGAAATCCTTATCTTAACCCATTCTGAAAGATAGAAAAAACCTATTGTGAATTAGGCTGTTATTCATATTCTTAGTCCAAAGATGGGGATTTTGGGCTCGAGAAAGTCAGGCGTTGTGGGAACCTTTTCTCCCTGAGAAAAATTACTCATCCCACTATTATTCTTTTAAATTTTAAAAGAAAAATTTCATCACTTGTATCTCAGTTTAACTGGTTTAAAGCCCTTAAAGGAATTCCGGTCATGACATTGGGGGAAAAAGAACACTAAATATTTTCTCTTTGAGGAGCTTTCTGTCCTTCCTATAGGAATACTTGGTGAGCTCAAAATCAAGAAAATTTAACTTGGGGTTTCTTTCTTTTTAGGGATTTGGGAACCAGGCGGGTTCAGATTATGCTGCTGCGGTCGTTACAGATGGTAAGGCTTCCTATAATGGAGGAAACAAGAATATTTTTTTTCCCTGTGTGAGGAAAAAAGAAGAAAACAGAACAGCTAGGTCTCTAAATTTGAAGTAAGAGAAAAGATGAGTCTCGTTTCCTGCACGACTAGCCCAGGTTTATTGACAGCGGCTTGGCTAATTCTTTGTGCTGACTGAACATTTCATAGAGATAAATAATCAAGGGCGGTCTTCAGTAGCAGGAAACTGGGAATCTTCTCATAGAATCCATAAAATAAAGAAGTTGGAAGGGGCTTAAAAGGCCATCGGGTCCAACCCCCTGCCCAAGGGAGAAATACAAATCAAAGCAGATCTGAGAGAGGGTTGTCCAGTTTTCTCTTGAACGCCTCCAGCGTTGGAGCGCTCGCCACCCCCGTAGGTAATTGGTTCCATTGTTGTACTGCTCTTACAGTTAAGAGGTTTTCCCTAATATTCAGCCAAAATCTGGCTTCCTGTAGCTTGAGCCCATGTCCTACACTCTGGGTGATTGTAGACAGATCCTGCCCCTCCTCTGTAAGACTAACAAGTATTTGAAAAGTGCTATCATATCTCTCCTCATCTTTGCTTCTGTTGAAGCGCCTCAGGTGACTCTAGAAAAAAAACTGATGTGCCACGCACACCAATTTTAGCTCCTTGTAAGAGGATCCTCTCATGAGAAATATTATTTCTTAGCCCCTCCCAGTTCACTTTTGAGGAGTGATTATGGCAGATTATCTATAGATCCTGCACTCAAGTGCTATATATGTCAGTAGGATATGGAAGGCAGCCCATCTAGGGGAAGGAAAACTCTGATTTCAAACCTCCGCTGCACGAGATAGAAACCCTATATTTAGCATGGTGTCTGATTCCCTCTAGTGGCCAGATCTGGTAATACCATCTTGGAAATGTGTGTTTCTGGGGTAAGGTGGGTATTTAATATTTTCAGGCAGTGGATAAGTGTACATCTTGGAAACGTGTGTTTCTGGGGTGAGGTGGGTATTTAATATTTTCAGGCGGTGGATAAGTGAAACCGTGGGTGCTGATCCCGTGGATACAGCGATCCTACTCTATAGATTTTGGTCGATTTCTCTGTGCAACTGACCAAGAAACATTGGGTTGTGAAGGAAACGTGTGTTTCTGGGGTGAGGTGGGTATTTAATATTTTCAGGCGGTGGATAAGTGAAACCGTGGGTGCTGATCCCGTGGATACAGCGATCCTACTCTATAGATTTTGGTCGATTTCTCTGTGCAACTGACCAAGAAACATTGGGTTGTGAAGTTGGGTCCTGATCCCGTGGATACAGCGATCCTACTGTATAGATTTTGGTCAATTTCTCTGTGTAACTGACCAAGAAACATTGGGTTGTGAAGTTTGTTTTTCTGTCCTTTTTTAAAAAAAAATTACAGTGGTCTTCCGTTTTGATCTCATCTAGGTGACTACAGGATACAGTGCCAAGACCATTGCAGCTGCTCTGCCTGCACCTTTTCTGGATCCTCTGCTGTCTCCTTCCCTCATGGATGACTGTGAACTAAGACAGCTTGTCCTGGAAATACTGCATAACCTCATCGATCGGCACAACAACAGAGCAAAACTTAGAGGCATCAGGTGAATGCTTTGAATGGAAGGGGGCCCTTGCTATGGCCTGGCATTGCCTGCCCATGTAAAATAGGCATTTCTGTGGTAATCACATGACCTGTGAAGTCGATTTTTTGGCCATCGGAGGTCCAGAACATAGACTGTGATATTTTGTTTGGCACGGACCTCCTCCTCTTTTAACCTTCTATTTTCTCCCTTAAGGGAAAGAGAGCTTAAATGTAGAGACCTCCTTATGTTATGTCCATGCTGGCTGCAGGATTGCAGTCCATAAAGAATTTTGTTGTTAAACCTGGATTACTGTGATGTTGAAAGGTCTGCCTTAGATTTGTATTGAAATCATTCTGTCATTTATGAGATTGTATCCCAGTAGTTTCCCCACTCTTTTGTTGACTATGAGGGCTACTCAATTCCTTCTATGGGATTCTTGCCCACAATAGTAGATGTGATAATCGTCTGAATTGAATTTGCCCATTCCTGTCCATTTTAGTTCACTGACATCCAGGATGTCAATGTTTATTCTTGCCATCTCCCCTTTGACCACATCCAGCTTACCAGGGTTCATAGATCTGACATTCCAGGTTCCTATGCAGTATTTTTCTTTGCAGCATCGGACTTTCCTTTCACTTCCAGGCGCGTCCGCAGCTGAGCATCCTTTCGGCTTTGGCCCAACCACTTCATTAGCTCTGGAGCTACTTGTCCTTGTCCTCCACTCTTCCTCAGTAACATGTTGGACGCCTTCCAACCTGAGGGGCCCATCTTCCAGTGTCATATCTGTTAGCCTTTTGTTTCTGTCCATGGAGCTTTCTTGGCAAAGATACTGGAGTGGCTTGCCAATGCCTGCTCCAGGTGGACTGCGTTTAGTCAGAACTATCCACTATGACCTGTCTGTCTTGGGTGTCCCTGCACAGCATAGCCCATAGCTTCTCTGAGTTAGTTAAACCCCTTCGCCACAACAAGGCAGCAATCCGTGAAAGGGAATAAAGAATAACCTTTCCAAATTCTTATCCTGACCCAGATGGGCCAATAGTGTGATTCAATACGTCAGTTTCCTGTGATCCCAAAAAGATGGGATATGAACTCTTTTTTGCTTATAGATTGCAATTCTCCAAGAATTCCAGGAATTGAGACCCACAGACCCAAATCTGCACACCTGTAAGTTTTGCACCCCACTCCCCTGAGAAGAGCTTTTGAGTTATTTATGTTGGCTTTTCCAGCCTTTGCTTGCTGTTGCCATTAGAATAGGCACATTTGAATCAATGGAACGTATGGAGGAGCTGAATCACCATCTCCCTGCTGATTCAATGAGAGGACTGTAGTGCCATTTGCTACACTAAGCAGCAGGATTCGGACCATCGATGTAGTGGGCTAGATATATTTAGTCTGGTTCAGATCTTTTCTATATATTGCCTACCTGCTCAAAATGGACAAAGGAAAAATTTGGTTTAATCATCTGTTTTGTGCCCACAACCAGTAGATGCTGTTAACAATATAGGGCTTCTCCGCAATTTTGCCATTTTCCATTTTGTCTGTGAAGAAATAAAGAATTACGATCATTGAACAGTTGAATATTTGAATCATCCAGTTTTCCAGCTGTGTTGCCCTGCCTGTTAAGTAGCTCCTCCAAATCATTCTTGGTTTAATGGTGTAATTATATTTTTGTTCTGTACAAAACAGGTTTGTCCAAAATGGAGCATTTGTCTGCCAAGTCATAATTACTTCTTGATTCTTTCAAAAAAAGAGAGAGAGAAAGGAAAAGAAAAGAAAATTAATTGTCAATGGGAACCATGGGGGGCGTAATTGAAGTGGAAATTGCTTCAGAAATTCTGGGTAGATAAATATAATTCACAGTGTGTGTCCTACTTCACTCCCCCCTGAAGAAGATTTATAATTATTAATAGTGTTTTAAGAAACTAACAGACTGGTTTGCCATTGCCTAGGATAATACCTGATGTTTCGGATCTAAAGATCAAACGAGACAAGATTACGAGGCAAGACCTGAATTTCATCAAGAAGGTAATAGCACTTTATGTACAGATGGGAAAGAAGTATGAAGTAACTGAGGGTTTGGGCTATTTTGCCACACTGCCGCACCCACACAATTTATCCAGTTCATAAAATCATAGAAAAATGGGGTTGTAATGGACCTATAACATTATTGAGTTCACCCCACCCCTGTTCAATGCAGGAATCCAAATCAAAGCAGATGTGACAGATGTTTGGCCAGTTGAATGCCTCCAGCTTTGGGGTGCTCCCAAAGTAATTGGCTCTACTGGCGTACTCCTCTAACAGTTAAGAAGTTTTTTCTGATATTCAGCCGAAATCTAGCTTGCTGTATCTTGAGCCCATGTCCTACACTCTGGGGTGATTGAGAACAGATCCTGCCCCTCTTTTGTATGATTATCTGTCGAGTATTTGAAAAGTGCTATCATATCTCCCTTCAGTCGTCTTGTCTAAACATTCCCCGTTCTTTCAGTCTTTCCTCAGTGGACTATTAAGTAATATTTGCAGATTATCTTTCCAGTTTCCTAGCAAGAAGAACATGTGGGCATCAGATACCTGTTAAATTCTTTTTCAATTAGTATGGAAGTAAATCTGTGCAAGTAAAAATGTGCACATTTTTAAAATGTATGCATTTTAGTCCCCAGTTGAATGCCTCCAGCTTTGGGGTACTCCCAAAGTAATTGGCTCTACTGGCGTATTGCTCTAACAGTTAAGAAGTTTTTTCTGATATTCAGCCGAAATCTAGCTTGCTGTATCTTGAGCCCATGTCCTACACTCTGGGGTGATTGAGAACAGATCCTGCCCCTCTTTTGTATGATTATCTGTCGAGTATTTGAAAAGTGCTATCATATCTCTCTTCAGTCGTCTTGTCTAAACATTCCCCGTTCTTTCAGTCTTTCCTCAGTGGACTATTAAGTAATATTTGCAGATTATCTTTCCAGTTTCCTAGCAAGAAGAACATGTGGGCATCAGATACCTGTTAAATTCTTTTTCAATTAGTATGGAAGTAAATCTGTGCAAGTAAAAATGTGCACATTTTTAAAATGTATGCATTTTAGTCCATGTAAAAATGCTTGATTTGGGAAGTATGCATACCAAAATATACATGAATTGGCATGCAAGGAGGAGGAGAAAATTCCACAACGCAGTAAAGAAATGTGAACAGATCAGGACAGGATTCTGAGAAACGCACTAGAACTGTTAACAGGGTCTTCTCAGTGATTGCTCCTAGCCTCTGGAGCTCCCTTCTGATATAGCCCAAGCTACCCCCCTCTGTTGTCCTTCCACCATCTGGCAAAGACATTTGTCTTCAAACACGTTCTGAAGACTGACTGCTGGTGAAGGAGCTTTTGACGGGTGTGCTGTACTTCTTTTGCTCGACTCGGTCTTCTCATAATTTGTTTTACTTAGTACAGTGGTGTCTTGCTTGACGAGGATAATCTGTTCCAGCAAAATCGCTGTTAAGCGATATCCTCATCAAGTGAAATAAAAAATCCCATTGAAATTCATTGAAAACCCGTTCAATGCGTTCTAATGGGCTGAATAACTCACCGTCCAGCAAAGATCCTCCATAGGGTGGCTATTTTCTGCTCCCTGTCTTGCGAAAAAGCCTTCCTAAACACAGCGGGCAGCCATTTTGTACACCCAATGGCCATTTTGAAACCCGACAATCAGCTGTTTTTGATCATCGTAATGCGAGGAACTGATTCTTGCAAAGCGAAAAAAACATTCAAACATCGTTTTGTGGTCACAAAAGCGATCGCTTCAAACACATTTTGAAGACTGACTGACTGCTGGTGAAGGAGCTTTTGACGGTTGTGTGTTCTGTACTTCTTTTGCTCGACTCGGTCTTATAATTTGTTTTACTTAGTAGTTAGTTTTCAACATAATTCAATTGAACAGCACCACTGTAGTTAGTTTTCAACATAATTCAATTGAATATACAACTTGCTCATTTTTTATGTAAGCTCTTTGAGTCCTGTTTGCAGAGAATAACAACCAAACAAAACAGACAGATTTTTCCCCCCACATTTCTAACGTGTGTGAAAATCTGTCCAGAGAACTCTTTGTTACTGCACTAAAAGTAGCAGTAAGGGAGAAGCAAAGACGTTTCCGAAGCTGTTGAGGATAAACTCTGTATGTAGTGGAAAGAACACTCTGTACTGAGAAAGTCCCAGGTTAAATCTCCCCTAAAAATAATCTCTGCTAACTGGGTTGGAAAGAACTCTTCCTTAGTCTCTGGAGAGCTTCTGCCAGTCAGAATAGAACATAGTGGTCCGAACAGGCTTGTCATCTGACCCAATTTGAAGCTCCTAAGGATGCCCAGTGTGGTGTAGTGGATAGAGTGGTGACTAAGGATCACGAGGCCCGGGTTCGAATCTCCACTCATCCATGGAAGCTCACTGTGGGTGTGGAACTGTTAAAACCGCCCTTTAAATATCCCACTTACCTTGAAAGCTGTATCAGGGCTGCTGTAAGTGAGTTTCAACTTGACAGCGCATAACAACAAAGCGTAGGTATAAGGCAGTCTCCTGTACTCATCAGATTAAGAGGAATCTCTTTATGTTCCACTATGCCTAATCTCTTGGTCTCTGATAATCATGTTCATACCTTGGCTGGCACATCAGAACTTGTCTGGCTTTACCTTGTCAGCATCAACATGCTGTGAAAAAACAAACACAAAAGGGCATCTTTTTGAATCGCATCTAAGAGTTGCAGAAAAATTGTCAAATGCGAATATGGAGAACGGCTTTTGGCGTCTGCACAAAGGCTATTTCCATATCTACGAAAAACTGCAGTTCACAGTTTTGCTGCGCCCGATAACCGTCTTGTGTTGGATACCTCTTGCTTCAGAGACTGGCCTTGACTGATGCTGACGCAATGAAAAGTGAAAAAACCTAGCCTGCAGCTGATTTAGAACTGTTAGATTTCTAGAGGGATGTAACTCTAGTCTTTACTCATTTCATCCTGGCAGGTGAGGAGAAAAAAATCTCAGAGATTGCTCTGTAGTGGATTCTTTGTTTACATTTTTGTTTGATTGCTTCTTTTGCCTTTGAGTTAAAAATAAATCATGTCACTATTTGTGCAAAGAAACAATGTTTTACCAGTAAACCTTCTATTTCATTCAGAATATGAGAGCATTGTATGGAGTTAGTTTTATTTTTTGCTAAATCCAAGGTTTTTGCACACAATAAGAGATGGTTTCCCCCAACCCAACCTAATGCTGCTGTGTAAGAAAACCCTGGCCTTTACAATTTTGTGCAGGTGAAAATCTTTTAGTGGCTGACCATTTTTCCCCCCCATCAGGATGTTTCATGGTGTCAAGACGCTTTCTTGTCAAAGACAATTAGAGTTATTCATTACACATTTCAATAGCTAGAGGACGGTCCAAAATGACAGTATATATGCCGTAGCTTTAGTGAAAATAAATCCCTCTGCTATGAATGCACATCAGATATGTTTGTATTAGGTCCAATAACCTGTTTCAGTAAAAAAATCTTAATCTGGCTTTCTAGTTTTAAATAGTCCACAAATTAATTCGAACAAGGTTTTCAAATTATTCTGGATGTTCTTAGGCACTATTATTTGTGATTTGTCTGGTTTTCTTTTGGATAGGCTTGCAGCCCCCTAAAAGACAAGAATTCAGCATTTTGGAGTGTCCTAGATCTGTTTAGAAGCACAGGTAGCCTCAGGGTTACTTCTACTATGGCCTGTAGACTTTTTGGTGGTGGTGGACTCCTGCTTGTGGAATTGTCCCCCCAAGTAAGGGCCACGTTATTGATTATAGGTAAAGGTAAAGGTTCCCCTTCACATTTATTCCAGTTGTGTCCAACTCTAGGGTGCAGTGCTCATCCCCGCCTCCAAGTCATAGAGCCAGCATTTTCCATAGACAGTTTCCCTGGTTGCGTGGCCAACGTGACTAGACACGGAATGCCATTACCTTCCCACCGTGGTGGTACCTGTTTATCGACTCACAGTTTTACAGTACATGCTTTCAAACTGCTAGGTTGGTAGGAGCTGGGATGAGCGACGGGAGCTCACTCCGTCGCGTGGATTCGATCTAACGACGGCTGGTCTTCCGACCTTGCAGCACAGAGGCTTCTGCGGTTTAACCCGCAGCACCACCACATGCCCCCTTATTGATTATGCCCATGATTAAATCAGAAAGCAAATTGTGCTGCTTATATACCTACCGCCCCATAGTGCTTAAAGCGATCATTGGGTGGCTTGCACTTTAATTAGGTAGGTTACACATTCCCACCACCACCACCCCCGCACAAGTTGGGAACTCACTTTATTGACCTTGGAAGGACCTTGGAAAGCTGGTCAACTTTACTTCTTCCGATTATTTTTACTTGTAAGATGCTTTGAGCTTTCCGGGGAAAAGGCATCTAACAGGTTTAATCAGTAGCAACGCTCTTGATTCTTCTCTTTCTGCTCCCTGTAGCATGGGCAGGAGTTGTACAGGCACGTTTACTTGGGCTGCAAAGAGGAAGACAATATCCAAAAGAACTTTGAGCTGTTGTACACAACCCTGGCTCTCATCACCATTGAGTTGGCCAATGAAGAAATGGTCATTGACCTCATCAGAGTGGCAGTGGCACTGCAGGTAGGACTTCTGAAATCTGTATGATTTGAGTTTTTGTTTTCGATATCTGTGGTTGTATTGCAATGGGTACAGATATTGTAATATGATAGTCATATGCCATAAAGTCAGTTCTGACTTATGGTGGCGCTTTCCAGGGTTTACCATTTCCCCCTTCTGGGGGCACTTTACAGGGTTTACCATTTCCCCCTTCTGGGGGCATTCTGGGACTGTACAGCTTGCCCATCATCATACAGGCTGGCTGTCCTTGCAGGAGGCGCAGTGGAGAATCGAACTCCCAACCTCTGGTTCCTCAGTCAGATACCTAAACTACTGAGCTATCCAGCCAGCTGGTCATAGAGATACCTCAAACTTTCTCTGACAAATATTCTCCAGAAACATTATTGGAGATATGCTGATTTTTCAATCAGTATTCCCTAGAACAGGGTAGGTAGACTGAAGGTACACTTGCTTTTATCTTATCCACAGTAAGAACAAAATACAGTGGTGCCTCACTTAACGACGATAATCCGGGCCAGGAAAATCGCTGTTAAGCGAAAACATCGTAAAGCAGGGGAAAAAACAATTGAAACGCATTGAAACACGTTCAATACATTCCAATGGGGTAAAAACTCACCGTCCAGCGAAGATCCTCCATACAGCGGCCATTTTCGCTGCCTGTATAATGAGGAATCCGTCCCTAAACACAGCGGGGAGCCATTTTAATTACCTGGTGGCCATTTTGAAACCGCCGATCAGCTGTTAGAAAAACGTCGTTTTGCGAAGAATCGGTTCCCAAAGCAGCAAACCTATCATCGCAAAGTGAAATTCCCCCATTTAGACCATCGTTTTGCGACCACAATTGCGACCACCAAAAGATCGTTGTTAAGCGGATTCGTCATAATGCGGGGCAATCGTAAAGCAAGGCACCACTGTACACTTAAAACAAAGCACATTGGACTGCCTCGTTCAGCATAGGAATTCATTTTTAGTACCAGAATTGAGTTTCTCAAGTTTCCTTTGTTTTGATAAATAGAAGGTGAATTAGGAAGTCTTACTGTTACTGTGTCATTAAACAACCGGAAGTAAGGAACCCTGTTCCTACTCCAAGTAATTCAGAAGTCTACTAGTCAATTCAGGTCTACCTTTGGGTATACTTGACCGGTCACATGAAGGCAAGCACACATTTTCAGATCATCGCTTGCTGTGATGAGTTGTGGTTTGGACATGTGGATGAAGATGAGTTGTGGTTTGGAATGTTGTTGGCAGTAATTCACCATGCCAAACTCTGTCCAAAACACTCACAGCTTGGGCTGATGTTACCTGTTAAAAACATAACTTTGTCCCGGTGTTTCTGTGCCTGTCCAAAGCATGGCGCCAATACTTGAATAGTATCCTTTTTCATTGAAAGGACATCGCAATTGTTAATGAAGACAACCTGCCCATGTTCCATCGCTGTAGCATCATGGCTATGGTCGCTGCGTACCTCAACTTCCTAAGCCAGATGATTGCGGTTCCTGCTTTTTGCCAGCATGTTAGTAAGGTACTGAATTGCTTCTCAGGGTTATGCTTATTCTCTTGCGTGGGGTACGAAGGATGGATGTGATTTTCAGTTCATGTTTTATTAGAATTTACCACCCAAAAAAGAAAAACTGCAGAGTTTGCACAGGGAAGAAAACAAAACTGGCAGATGTAACCATTCCATGTTGGTGCATGAACACGGGGGCAATACAGTTTTGGAAAATTTTTGAGGGGCTCTGCTCATAGGAATCTGGTGAGAAGTTTTAAAAGAATGTATTTGCTCATCCATAAATTATCACTAGATTCCGTTTTAAAGCGAAGTTCAAAATACACTTGGAAACTTCTGCTCCGACCGAAATCTAGAGGAATGTTTGAGCAAAGTTGGAAAAACTCTGAAAAATTTAGTTATTTCTCCTCCTTTTTCTTTTCTTTTTCAGAGAAATTCAGCCATATGTTAGTCTTATACTGACATTTTTGGGGCACGGGTATAACTATAAAATATAACCATTGTGCCATTCAATTTTATGTTATTTCTCTTTTCAGGTTTAGAGTGTAGGTGTTATTTCTGGGCAACAGTTCCGTAATTCATTCCAGGCGTTCCTCAGATATTCCTCTGGATTAGAGATGGGCATGATCTGATTCATCCCAGTTCATAAAGATGGTAGCACAGGTGCTGCTGCTCGCCTTCCCCGCTGCCGCAACCAATTCAGCCACGCCCCAGGCGCAGCTGGCTTGCTTTTCCCACCTCCTTGGCAAATCTCCCAGTCATGAGCAAGGGCCCAGACTTCTCTGCCCTGCCCTTTTCTTTGAGTGGCAGATCAGCCAAGAGGGGTGGGGCAGAGAAGCCTGGGCTGTTGCTCATGACTGGGAGATCAGTTGAGGAGGTGCAGGAAGCTACCAGGTTGGGCCTGGGGAGTGGCTGACTGAGTCAGAGGAGGCAGGAGAGGGGATCCAGGCTGGGCCTGGGGAGTGGCTAACTGAGTCAGAGGAGGCAGGAGAGGGGAGCAGTGGCATCTGTGCTGCTGCCTTTACGAACTGGGATGAACCAGTTCGTGCCCATCTCTATTCTGGATATCAATCTGAGCAGAAACTTTCAAGTGTATTTTGAACTTCACTTTAAAATGGAATCGAGTGGTAACTTATGGGACGTACTTTAAAAGATCAACAGACAACTTTCAGAGGTCTTGCCACCCTCTGGACTTGGGCAAGTCCTCCCAGTATCCCTTTATTTGCATGTAGATATTGTACAATTCACACAAAGCACAAATAGATGCGATCGTTATTTTGGATTTATTGAGAACAAACCTTATCTTGATTTTCTGCCCTTTTCCCCACCAGGTTATTGAAACCAGAAACGTAGAAGCACCTTATTTTTTACCTGAAACCATTTTCAGAGAGAAGAAGTGCAAGTATGGAAAATTAAACTTTTGGTAACAGAACTATATGTTATTTTCTTGACTCAACACTCAGAGGGCTCATAGCACAATAATAAAGCTATTTGGTGGTTCCGTTGGGAGAATATATCTTAAAACACAGTTGTGTTATTAAACACAGCTGTGTTTACTAAAAGATAGATAAATACCTATAAACCTCTCGCACCTGGGGATAAAAGGATCCAATAGTATTCTTCACCAAAGACCTTGGGGAGCTGGTGCAAGTCAGAGTACAACTGGAACCAAAATGGATGAGATGGCAGCTTTGCAATGAGAAGTGGAGCTGATTTAAATAAATGATGTTTGATTATCTTCCTGTACTATTTTCTAGCTTCAGAAACTGCAGACTATCTCACTTTTGGAGGAACTGGGTGACTGGACTGTTTGGATATAAATGCTGAGCTTTGCTTGCATGTTAACTGTGCATACATTGCTGCCCTGGAGAAATAAATAAAGTTTTATTACCTCGCAAAGCCACAGTCATGCCCGCTTCTGTCCTCAGATAGATAGACAAATAGTTCCGTCTTGTGCAAGGTGGCATTCTGTATTTCCCATGTGTTAGAGTGGGATGAGGAACCTGTGATCCTCCAGATGCTGATGACCTTCTCTTTTCATCATCCCTACTAGTAATCATGCTGGCAAGGAATTTTGATATATGGAGATCAATAACTTCTGCAGGGCTACAGGGTCCTCTGATCATTTTTAGTGGGGAAACCAGAGGCAGAGTGTCTTCATTTCATTGGGAACAACTCAGAGCCAGAATACTGGAGGTTTCCACAGTTCATCTCTCCCTGCAGCTCATTAGCTTGGAAAGGTTTGCCATCACTTCTTCAGCTTCTCCCCATCACTGGATCCAGTTCTCCTCTCCTCTCCAGCAGTCTGGGGATTACAGTGTGATACCCTAGTTGGAGTATCAGACTCAGGAGACCTCAGGTTCAAATCCTCATGCAACCATGACACGCGGTGTGGGGAAACAACCTGCATCACAAGGTTGTTATGAGGAGAGAAGGAGGGAGGAGAGCCATGTAAAGTGCCTCGAGGCAACTATTGGAAAGGTGCGATATAAATGCAAAAAAATGAATACTGCTCATGCACAGAATGGGAGGAGCCAATATGCTCAGCCATGAGGAGAAGTGAAGCCGCCAAACCCTTCGTTTGACTTCAAAGTGTTAATGCTCACATATAAACGGTTTAGGACCTCGATACTTGGCGGAACGCTTACTCCCAACTAGTTATATCCGTGTCACCCACATGGGCCAGGAGGTGAGGCTGAGGAGCCTGACGCTGAGGGAGGCCCGGAAGGAAAGAACTAGAAACCGGGCCTCCTCGGTGGTGGCCCCTCGCCTCTGGAATAACCTTCCCCCTGACATTCGCGCGGCTCCCTCACTGGGTACTTTTAAGAACCAACTAAAAACGTGGATGTATAGGCAGGCCTTCCCTTCCAGTTAATTCCTGACCTCTTTCCTTTTTTTCTCTTTATTTGATTTATTTTGTATTTTTCCCATCTTGCAGAATCATTTAATTAATTAATTGTTATAAATTTTTCTTGAACTTGTTATGCTTTATGTTGTTAGCCGCCTAGAGTGGTGGAAATGACTAGATAAGCGGGGTATAAATACAATAAATAAATAAATTGGGTGTAGGCCGTGTAGAACAGTCTCCCGTTCTTCTTTATGTCGGCATTTGTCCGATAGAGTGAACAACGGAGAGCAGAGGTGATCAGGAAGAGCAGTAGGGTAGCAAAGCTATGCTGATTTTAAATTCTACGACCGACACTTGCCAACATCAGAGGAATAAGGCACTGCAGCAAATTGCTACTAGTTAGGAAGTCAGCGCTCGTTAGGCTGTGTAGAACAGCCTCCCATTCTTCTTTATGTCGGCATTTGTCCGATAGAGTGAACAACGGAGAGCAGAGGTGATCAGGAAGAGCAGTAGGGTAGCAAAGCTATGCTGATTTTAAATTCTACGACCGACACTTGCCAACATCAGAGGAATAAGGCACTGCAGCAAATTGCTACTAGTTAGGAAGTCAGCGCTCGTATTTCCTGTCACAGTCCGAGTCACATGATGGATGTGTGACCAGAAATACAAGCCTTGACTTCTCAGCTAGCAATGGGGCATATGTCATACTGGGCATTTTGTGTGAATTGCCAGCTTATGGACAGAGGTCTACTCTGGCATAGTGAAGTAAACAGATGATCAGCCATTCTTGATTCCGAGCTCTGAATACAGGAGTGTGGTCTGTTTGATGTTGCTAACAGCTAGCGTCCATAAATCATGTGCCAAATAAAATCTGTTAGTCTTTGGGACTTCAGGAGATTCTTGGTTGTTTTAAAAGTTAACATCTATTGGAAAGTCAGGATGAGGAAGAGAACAATAATGAATAATTTTTTGGCATTTGAATATTTCATTATAATTTACATTTGCACATTCATTCATTCATTCATTCATTCGTTTGTGCACTATTTGTTTTCTGATGAAATGATTGAAACATAGTAATTGCTGTTTATGTTTTGAAGTCTTCCCAAGTCCCTGGGAAAGGATGAAACAAACCTGTTCTTCCTGACCAACCAGATCGCAGAATCCCTGGCCGGCAGTGGCTACAGCGTGGAGAGACTATCGGTGCCATATGTCCCTCTTGTGACAGGTGAGTCAAAAGTCCCCCATTCCTGACTCCAGTTCTTCTCTACCTTTGTCTCCTAGTCTAACCTGGGATAGTTCCAGATGATGCTTTTATGATTCACTTTTCTTGCCTCATTCATTTCATCAAAAGGAGGGATCCTTCCATTTGTAAACTCACATATCTTCTCCTACTGCTTAATTCCTTTTTCATACTGCATACAATCCACTAAGGAAAGGAAGATGGAATTGCTGCTCAGTGCTTTAAGGAACAGTCCATCTTTGCGCCTCCTGAATCCTGTTGTGGATTTACACTGGCATAAGTGTAATAGCCTAAGTCACAGTGGTGAATGGCTGCTAATTAGTGAGTTGCTTCTTGCATCGCTAGTCTTGCAAACTGTGTGCAACTAGGAATGCAAAACAACAACTCATTAATCAGCACCCTTTCACTGCGATAGTTTACACTGTTACTCTTAAGACCAGCACAAATCTGTGACAAGATTCTGGCCATTGCATATCTTTAAATTGCAAAATATTCAATGGCTGAAATCCTGGAAATCAGTGGAATTTATGGAGGAGGAGACTTACTCAATTTCCACTGATTCAAAGGCCTACTTTAGTTGTAAATTACTATATGGAACAGCAGGGTTCCAGCATAGCATGCAGGAATCTATACTGAGCTGAAAGTAGCATCCTCTAGCTGACTAAGAAGATAAATTCTACATATCAGTGTTTCACCACTTATCCTGAACTTATTGTCATGTTACTGATATTTATTAGAACTAATTCTTTGCCTGAGTCAGGTGGATTTCTTCAAATTGCAGGCAGGTGCTCATCTGATTAGTCATTTTCAAAAGTTCTGATTTCACCCCAAGGGTGAAGAGAGATGCCACAGGTTGCACATGCAAATCTTATATAAGGGTGGCAGACTGAACTTTACAGTGGTGCCTCGCTTAACAAGCGCACCGTTTAACGACAAATTCGCATAGGAACCCGTTTTTTGTGGTCGCTAATGCAATTGCATTGCAATGTTTAGATAGGCTAAACATCGCATTGCGATGATCGGTAAGCGTTTCGCTTACCAATCTTTGCATTGCGATGTTTAGAAAACAGCTGATCGGTGGTTCCAAAATGGCCACCGGATCAGCAAAATGGTCGCCCGCAGCGTTTTTGCGCCCTACCCTCGCTTACCGGGCAGCGAAAATGGTGGCCAGATGGGGGAATCTTCGCTTACCGGTGAGTTTTTCCCCCATAGGAACGCATTAAATAGAGTTTAATGCGTTCCTATGGGGTTTCCCCCCCACATAGCGACGAATCTGGATAACGACGTTGATCCTGGAATGGATTAACATCGCTATGCGGGGCACCACTGTATTAATATTTGAAATGCCCTGTTCTCAAACTACCCGCTATTCATACTGAACATGGACCTTTATACACCTGTCATCCTTTGTAATGAGATAATTATTAATCCTATTTGCCTTTGCCAGTTTTAAAGCTGCCCTTGCAATGTGCAAATTTTAAGAAATTGTGGAACCTTATGAACAACTGGGTGCTATTTTGATCTATGAAATAAAATCTGTTCTGTTCTCCTGGAAGGAATTCTGGACATTTGTCATCAATGTGTGAATGGCTGGCGTCCATTCCACATTTATTGCATGGTTTTAAAAAAATCCCAGTTAAGCTTCTGACATCTGCCTTTAAATAAGTAGAAAGCTCTGCTAGGGAGCACGGTTACCCAAGACACTCAGAAAACACCCTTAAATTATGTAGTAAACGAAACCATGGTGTACTTTGCTGTGAAATAATTTTCTGGGCTCATAATCGAAAAGATTATCTGTACGTGGGTGTAATCATTATTTGCAAATTTTACAACGTGCTATAAATCCATTTCTGCTGTCTCCTCGGTTGAATCCGTTTGCATTTATCATAGAAACGCCTTTGAAAGGAACAAAAGTTATTCTATAGAAGTAGCACTCAAAGCCTTTTCTGCATGACCATTGGAGGCTTTGACACATTTTTTTGTCTTGAAAAAGCTAACTCCTCCCCGCCCGATATACCCTTTGCCGTATCACCAGATAGAGAGCATCTCCAGTGCCATTTGGCACGCAGCAAAAAAGCTGTGACACTCAGAGACTCTCATGTGTATCCAGTTGTTTTGATCCTGGCAAAATACTTCTGCTATCCGCATACTTGTTTTTTCCAACTAATATGTCATCCTATTTCCATTCTTACATATCTCCTGAAATTTAGCACTATTTCCGTCTGGCAAAAAGCCTCATAAATGCAGGCGCAAATCAAAAGGTAAATCTGAGCCATAACTGCCTGTCCTCCATGTAGCTTTTCTCTGTGTCATGGATAGGATACATAGGCATTCCACGCAAGTGCACTCTGTATAGATAGATAACGGTAGTCTTCAGTTAGTTTCTGTATTTGTTTCTCCTTGTGTTGTTGTGACCTCTGCAACTCTAGCTGTAGCTCCTTTCTACTCTTCTTTCAGCTCTTTTGTGACATCTAGCAAATGGTTCAGGACATTATTGTGAAATTAATTATTGGGGTTAAAACATACCGTATTTTTCTGTGTATAAGATGCCCCCATGTATAAGACACACCCACCCACTTTTCTAACCCAAAATTAAGAAATCTAAGTGGGGCTTAGCGAATTTAGGGTAAAAAGGATCAAAGTGCTGCAGGATGGCTTTGATCCCTGCTTTCTCCCTTTGTGCTAAGCCCCGCGTGGCTTAGCAAAAGGAGGGGGGAGGAGTGAAAAGAATTTTGATCCTTTCCCCCCTTATAGAGCCACAGGATTGCTTTGGTCCTTCCCCCCTCCTTTTGCTAAGCCCCATGGGACTTAGCAAGCAGAGAGGAAAGCAGGGATCAAAGCCATCCTGCAGCACTTTGATCCCTGCTTTCCTTTTGCTAAGGCTTTGCAAGTGGAGAGGAAAGCAGGGATCAAAGCCCTGCAGGATCACTTTGATCCCTGCTTTCCCCTCCACTTGTTTTTTCTCCTCAGCTTACTTCCGTGTATAAGATTTTAGACAAAAGTATAGTCTTATACACAGAAAAATACAGTATATAGCCTGTGTATTGTTGTTATTGTTTCCATTATGCACTGTCCACCAAAAGTTGGCTGGATTTAGTTCCTTGAATATTGGGTTATTCCCAGGGACTGAGGACATTCACAGGTATTCCCTTAACAAAATGTGCTGTTCCAGATAAGACAGCCTTCTGCAATTGGTGCACTGCTCTTTCCCATGAGGAACTGAAAAACCGGGGGTCCCCAGTTTTGCTGTTAACCTCTTTTGTGAATGCCTGGGTAGGATTATAGGTGGTCCCTCTGTTGTTATCCTTGAGGTATCAGGTACAACCAGTAACATTCTCTCAAAACAACCCGTAACATTATCTCAAGCAGTTCATGGATGATGTATTTATTGCCAACTTAAATTTATTTAGGAGAAATGGACAGTTAAATTACTTTAATTCTCTCCAGTACTTTGCTGGTAATTCACAAAGGCCAAAAGGAAGTGTAATGTACTATTATTATTGACTGTGCAGGCGAGCTACTTTTGTCGCTCTGTATGCCTGAACAAGTAAGTGGACTTCTGGAGAAAACAGTCTGGTCTAGTGGATAGAGCGTCAGACTAAGACTCCGAAGACCTGAGTTCCAATCCTCACTCAGCCATGGAAGCTCAGTGGGAGTGGCAATGGTAAACCACTCCTTGAACGTCTCATTTCCTTAGAAAACCCCATTATGGGTGCCATAAGTAGGAAGCGACTTGATGGCAAATAATGTACAGAATTTAAAAAATCATCTGCAGTTGGCAGTGCTGATGAGATGGAGCTCTTTGTTTACCTGATGAACTGAAGAACCAGGTGGTCACATCAGTGGCAGAAAGCAAGCTTCATCCAAACCCAAAATGGCATGCCAGGTATGCATCTTTGCCATGCAAGTGAATGGCTGGTGCCTATTCATCTGGAGAAATGTGGAATCATTGAATAATTGAATTGCAAGGGGGCTAGAAAGGCATCGAGTCCAACCTCCTGCTCATTGCAGGGATCCAAATCAAAGCAGATCTGACCGATGGTTGTCCAGTTTTCTCTTGAATGCCTCCAGCACTGGAACCACTCACCACCTCCCAGTCATTGATTCCATTGTCATACGGCTCTAACAGTTAAGAAGTTTTTTCCTGATATTCAGCCTAAATCTAGCTTCATGCAGCTTGAGCTCGTTATCCCATGTCCTGCAGTTTAACTTCCACTGGTAGAATTTCCTTGGGAAATTCTATGTCTTTCTGTTCTCTCTGGGACAGCATGCTGATGATTCACAAGCTGGATAAAAAGATATCTTGAACAGCCCTAAGTAATCAATGATGTGCACCTCTTTATTTGAAGAATGAGTCAAGATTATTAGGTACAATCACCATAGACGTCAGCAGTTTGTTGGTAAAAGTCTTCAGCAATTACTTCAGAGAAGCTCGTTTTCATAACTAAGGAGGCAGTTAAGAATGCGGTGTTCTCTGTTTCTGATATATGAGATGGAAAGGCCAAAAAATTGTAAAGCTGATTTGCCTTGCTTGGGTTTGAGGCAAAGAGAGCAGGAGTTTAAAATCAAGGTTTTTACGACATTCTTGCTGCGGTTGTTTTGTACAGATGAAGACAGACTGTCCAGGAGGAAAAGCCTTGTGGACACCCTGTCCATTCAAGTAGACATTCTGCCAGGCGGCTGCCATATGGAAGAAAAGGTATTTAACATCCTTGTTTATGGGAGGGTGGGGTGGAGAGAGAGAGAATGAAACGGTTTGATTAAATTCTTTAATTGTCTTCAGTTGTTTCAGAAATTTGTCTTTCCACACCAAGAATCAGTTCAGGCCCCTGGTATATTCTACCTAATTTCATAAAAGTATGTCTCTCAGAGACAACAGATGCCATGGCCGTTGACTGATGGATTCTGGGATCTATTGTCAAAAAAGGAACTTTTCCAAGTTCTGATTCTTAATTGCCTTCTTATCTTACAGCACACAGCCCCACCTCACACAGAGCGCTGGCCAAGTCTCTGTCTCCTCATTAGTGTACACTGGTATCCTACATTCAGTGTTCACCAGCATCTTCTACTGCTGTGCAATAAAGATGGCAGCTGTTGAGCTGTCTCACACAGATTATAGAATCATAGAAAAGTGAAGTTGGAAGGGGCCTACAAGGCCATCAAGTCCAACCCCCTGCTCAATGCAGGAATACAATCAAAACAGATCTGCCAGGTGATTATCCAAGTTTTTCTTGAATGACTCCGGTGTTGGAGCACTCACCAACTCCTGAGGTAACTGGTTCCACTGTCATACTGCTCTAACAGTTAGGAAGTTTTTCCTGCTATTCAATCAAAATCTGGCTTTCTTTAACTTGAGCCCATTGTTGTGTGTCCTGCACTCTAGGCTGATCAAAAACAGATCTTGCCCCTCCTCTGTATGACAGACTTTCAAATATTTGAAAAGTGCTATCATATCACCCCTCAGTCTTCTTTTCTCAAGGCTAAACATGCCCAATTCTTTCAGCCTTTCCTCATAAGGCTTGGTTTCCTGCCCCCCGATCATCCTTCTCACCCTCCTCTGAACTCCTTCTGAGTTGTTAGCATCCTTCTGGAAGTGTGATGTCCAGAACTGGACACAATACTCAAGGTGAGGCCTAACTAGTGCTGAATAGAGGGGGACCAGCACCTCGTGGGATTTGGAAAGTGTACAATGGTGCCTCTCTTGACGAGGATAATCCGTTCCAGCAAAATCACTGTAGAACCAAATCCTCGTCAAGCGAAAATAAAAAACCCATTGAAATGCATTGAAAACCGGTTCAATGCATTCCAATGGGCTAAATACCTAATTGTCTAGCGAAGATCCTCCATAGGGCGGCCATTTTCTGATGCCTGTAAAACGAAAAATGCCTCCCATGAGCAACCATAAACAGCGGGGAGCCATTTTGCACAGCGGGCGGCCATTTTGAACCCTGACGATCAGCTATTTTCAGATCATCGTAATGCAAAGAATCAGTTCCCAAAACAGGGAACCGATGGTCGTAAAGCGATTTTTGGTCATTGAAACATCGTTTTGTGATCACAAAAGCGATCACATAAACCTCACCGTCAAGCGGATTCATAGTTTAACAAGGTAATAGTTAAGCGAGGTACCACTGTACTTGTACTTCTATTCATGCAGCCTAAAATAGTATTTGCCTTTTTTGTAGCCACATCACACTGTTGGCTCATATTTAGCTTGTGATCTACGACAATTCCAAGATCCTTCTCACTTGTAGTTTTGCTAAGCCACATATTTCCCCATCTTGTAACTGTGCAATTGATTTCTTTTTCCGTGGTGCAGGACTTTGCACTTATCCCTGCTGAATTTCATTCTGTTGCTTTCGGCCCAGTGCTCCATCCACTTGATTGTCTCAAGCCCTGATCTTATAGTTAAAGAATGCTTGCTAAGCATCCAGTTATTGCCAGGATTCCATGCAACACAATTTAAATTTTTAAGCAACAGTTGCTTTATACCCTGATCCCCAAATGATTGTTTTTCTGAGTTTCTTTGCTGTACAGTGTCAGCATTGTTTTGTATTCTGTGCCATCGCCTTGCTGTTCACAGAATTGATAAGACACATTAAGGTACTTTATTAGAAAAATAATATGAATAGCATATTTATGATACTATGACTGAAGTCTTGTTAGTTACATAGGCACACACATGGTGTAGTACAATCAGTGGAACACTCAGCAGCAAAATGGCCATTGTTCAAAAGTTAGCATAGCTCTTTGCTATTGTGCACCAAGTCTTGCAACAGCCATTAACAGGAATTCAAATACACAGAACAGAGCAGGGAACGGGTGCATGGGATAATGGCTTATATGGAAGCTGGTGCTTCAGGTCAAGTTTCTGAAGAGATCATCTGAAGAGTATTTACAGTGGTGCCTCGCTAGACGATGATAATCCATTCCACTGAAATCGCTGTTCAGCTAAATCATTGTCTAGCAAAAAGCATTTCCCCATTGGAATGCATTGAAACCTATTTAATGCGTTCCAATGGGGAAGAATTGTCATTGTCTAGCGAAGATTGGCCATAGGAAAGCCGCTTTGCCAACCGCCGATCAGCTTTTTAAATCGCTGTCTTGCGAAGCTTAGGTCCCAAAAACACCTGTTTTGTGAGCACGGAGGGAGCTGTCAAAATCGTCATCTAGCAAAAATCAGTTTGCGAAGCAGGGACCAAACATTGTCCAGCGAAATTCCCCCATAGGAATCACTGTTTTGCGAAACGCTATAGCGATCGCAAAAAGTCAGTGTCTAGCGAAAAAACTTTCATGCGGGTAACTGTCTAGCGAAGCACCACTGTATTAGGAAACAACATAAGATTCAGAAGGATAACTACAAATACAAATATCAGGGCAAAATTGGGCGAGACACCACCAGTTTTGCAGTTAGAAAGTGATAAAATGTTTCCTTCCATGGATGTGTTCCTTCTATGCAGTTATGGCTGAGCATTCTCAATGACAAATAAAGGCTATGGTTACTCAATTTGCAAGTTACAGAGCTGTTGAAGTCCTGAAGTACAATGAACAAACATTTTACTTCCACAAAGAAGTCAGCTTCTGATGCCTTGGTCATATATTATTTGCTTTAGGTGAAAAAAGAATACAATTGTGCCTCGCTTAACGATTGCCTCACTTATCTCCACAAAGAGGTCAGCTTTTGATGCCTTGGTCACTATATTATTTGTTTTAGGTGAAAAAAGAATACAGTTGCATCTCGCTTAACGATTGCCTCGCTTAACGAGGAATTCACTATATGATTGGGTTTTTGTGATCGCTTTTGCAATCGCAAATCACTATATGATTGGTTTTTTGTGATCGCTTTTGCAATCACAAAACAATGTTTTAAATTTTTTTTTAATTTAACGACGATCGGTTCCCTGCTTCGGGAACCGATTTTCGCTTTACGACGATCAGCAAACAGCTGATCGTCGGGTTTCAAAATGGCCGCTGGCTGAAGAAAATGGTTCCCCCGCTGTTTTCTAGAACGGATTCCTTGCTTTACAGGCACCGAAAATGGCCGCCGTATGGAGGATCTTCGCTGGACGAGCAGGTATTCAGCCCATTGAATGGTTTTCAATGCATTTCAATGGGTTCTTTAATTTCGTTTGCCAACGAATTAACGTTGTCAAGCGAGGCACCACTGTACAGTGACCAAGGCATTGGAAGCTGAATTCCTTGTGGAGGCAAAATTACTAAAAGGAGGGATACGTGGGAGTAAAGTCAGCTCTGAGAGTATCAGTCCGTTGGTAGAGAACAGACAGAGCAGAGAGTAGAGAGAGAAAATACAACAGGGAACACTAGTTTTCTCCCTCTACCTCTGGCGCTCCTGGGGACACACAGTTGCACCTTTGCTTCCACACGAGTGAAGAAGCAGGAGTAGACAGGAGTACATGGTTTACATTTACAAACCTCCTGTGCTGCACCGTGTTGTACTGAGTTGCCTTTTAAGAGTAAAAGCTCAAATATTCCATATCCCCGTTTTCAAAAAAAGGTAATCTAGATGCTCTGCTCAAAGTGGAAGAGTGCAGTTGCTTCAACTTTTTTTGTGTGTGTGTGTGTGTGTTTGTTGTTTCTTTAGGCAAATAGCACGGAAGAAATCACGTTTGAAACACTGAAGTGTGTGTTTGTTTGTTGTTTCTTTAGGCAAATAACACGGAAGAAATCACGTTTGAAACACTGAAACAGGCCATAGGTAAGGTGGGCTGCCTTTCCATATCCGATGCTTGACTCAGACATCTTTGTGAAGGCCTGGCTCAGGCACTTAAATCCAGCAATTCAACTTTTTAAAGAGTGGGTTCATGCTGTGTGTAAAGCTGCAAACAAGTATGACATATTAGGGGAGTAATCTCCCCTACTTCTGGTTTGCATTTATCCCTCCTTTTGTGTCACCTGCAGTTCCAGGCAAGGCAGCTGGGGAAAGAGGTGAGGCACAAACCGAGGTTCAAGACATGTCGGGTGGTAGTTCTTGATACCACAGAAGTCATGACTTAAACCAGTGAGTCCCAACCTTGGGTCCACAGACATTCTTGGACTGCAACTCCCAGAAGCCCTTGCCAGCACAGCTAGTGGTGAAGGCTTTTGAGGGTCCAGTCCTTTGGCCCTCTCATGAGAAGAGAAGACTCCCTGGAAAAGACTCTGATGTTGGGAAAGTGTAAAGGCAAGAGGAGAAGGGGACAACAGAGGATGAGATGGTTGGACAGTGTCATTGAACCGACCAACATGAATCTGACCCAACTCCAGGAGGCAGTGAAAGACGGGAGGGCCTGGCGTGCTCTGGTCCATGGGGTCACAAAGAGTTGGACACGACTTAACAACTAAACAACAAGTCTAAAAACATCTGGGGACCCAAGGTTGGGAACCACTGGTTGAAACAGATCAGAGTTTGCAAGCAAGCCACATACCAGAAGCTCTCATGAGGATTTTTTTCTGGGGGGGTTGTTACAAATCATGGTTTGTCTGCAAAGATGGTTTCGAATATGGTAACAATCCAGATTAGGTCATAGCTTTTCATGACCTGTGAAGGCAATCATGGTCGCTTCATGGAATTAGTGGTGTTTTGTGTGCTTAGTTTTCCCACATTGCTGGTGTTTGTGTTGTTGCTGTTAGGCAGCTTTAGAAAAAAAAGTGACTTCTGCGTTTCGCTTTGTTTTCATTCCTTGAAAGACAACAATGCTCTTGAGGAACAGGAGAAGGAGAAGAGGCGGCTTGTGATTGAAAAATTCCAGAAAGCACCTTTTGAAGAAATTGCTGCACAATGTGAAACCAAAGTAAGTACTTAGGCCGTGGTCCACAACCCGTATGGCTCGGATGCAATCTGGGCATATTTGTGATGAAATATCACTAAGATCTCATAAATCTTCACGTGCTCTGTGCCAGCTTTATTTGGTTATAGAGTGTTCCTTTATCTCGCTGTCATGGATACAGGAATGGTCTATCAGTGAATAAAGCTTGCAGAGTAGTCGGTGAAGACTGATGACATTGGGTACCGTGACAAAATGAGGAACTGAAACAGTAGAAAGATGGAAAGACTAGGATCCAAATGGAGAGGAATCTATAAAGTTCTTTAAGAAGTTCTTTGAAACACATTCCTGTTACTGATGGGCACCTGTCTCTCTTTTTCCAACTCCATCAGAAGTTGGGAGACTCCCGTGTCTCTTACGGGTAAAAGCAAAACAGAGACAAAACATTTTTTAAAAAGACAAAATCATGGTGGCACCTTAAAGACTTTTATATTTTTTTCATGTGAGACTTTCATAGACGCTTTCATAGAAGAGTCCACTTCATCAGACATGTCTCTGTCTTAAATAGATCTTCTGCATGGTCAGGCCTTACGTCTGGACAGCAAAAATCCGTATCGGAGCTTTCAACAGCTTTATTCCTTGACATGTTCAATGGACTACATTGAGGCCAGATCCTGTTGCAGCCTGTGCTGCCCTGTGCAGTCCCTTGTTTGCCTTTACACAAGCCAGATCCCCCCCCTGTTGTAACAGATGGGTTCTGCTGGCATAGGCAACTACTGGTTACTTCCTCGCTCCAGCCTAGAGAAAGCCCAGCCATAGTGGGCAATTTCACACATGGAGCAACGCAAAGAGGATTCACCCTGGATATCTTATCATTTAACATTTAGGACTCACAAACGTAGCTTTTGGTGTGTACAAGTTCCGTTACAGCTTATATTATTTATTTTTCAGAAGGACCTCTGTTGTAGGCATAATTTCTAAAAGTTAGATCTGGTGTTGGGTGTGTCGCTGGTCTACTTTTAGACATCCATAGACGATGTGGTCGCTACATAGGGAAGTCCTTCTCATGAGTAGCTGCTGAAATGCAGGCTTTCCCCATGCACACGTGTTATGCCTCCTGGCAGAGGACATTGCTAGCCATGCAGCAACTCTTAACGCTCAGAACTGCAAAACTTGGAAAAGTTGGTTGGTTGGTTTTGAATGCAGCTCTCAGAATCCAGAATCAGAATTCTTCCAAGATCTGGGTAACTGCACGATTTGTATGAAAAAGAAGTGGTTGATGCTGTTGCATCTGATGACAAAGTAAAGTCATCTACACCACTAATTTCCAACCATGGGCCCCCAGAGGTCCTTGGACTAAAATTCCCAGAGGCCTTCACCACTAGCTTTGCTGGCCAAGATTTCTGGGAGTTGTAGTCCAAGAACATCTGGGGACCCAAGGTTGGGAACCACTAATGCAGACCAATTCGTCTGAAGGGTACAGGGATTAAGTAGGAGTTGCCTAAAATAGCTAATGCTTATTCTTTGCAGGCAAACTTGCTCCATGACAGGCTGACGCAGATACTGGATCGCACGGTTCGGTAAGGCTAAATGAAATAAATGTGTTTTAAGCCTGTAAATATATATATGCATAAAAGACTCTTCTGGGTTCCCAAGACTATTAACTTGTTTTTCTACTTCATTTTTAAATGTCTGACTCCATTTTGGTTCCAGTCTTGATTGCTTTGAAAGAAACACATTCTGTAGTGTCGATGGACAGAAATTACTTTTATTCCAAGGCATATTTATCATATACCATTACAGTGATGTCTCGCTTGACGAGGATAATCAGTTCCAGCGAAATTGCTGTAGAGGAAAATCCTTGTCAAGCGAAATAAAAAAGCCCATTGGAATGCATTGAAAACCAGTTCAATACATTCCAATGGGCTAAATAATTCATCATCCAGAGAAGATCCTCCATAGGGTGGCCATTTTCCATGCTTGTGCATCAAAAAATTCCTTCCTGAACACAGCGGGGAGCCATTTTGAGTAGCCGGTGGCCATTTTGAAAACCCAACGATCAGCTGTTTTAATCATTGTAATGCAAGGAATCCGTTCCCGAAGCAGGGAACTGATCCTCATAACGTTCCTGAAGCAGGGAACTGATCCTCATAAAGCGGTTTTTGCCCATTAAAACATTGTTTTGCGATCGCAAAAATTCATCATGAAGTGGATTCGTCGTCAAGCGGGGTAAGTGTTAAGTGGGGCACCACTGTATACTGCTTTAGTATTTGTTCTGTCTGGGAATGATCATTCTCTTTCGGGAATGGTTGGATCTGTAAAATAATTCTTAGCACTTTCTCAGAGCATCTCAAAATTCTTTAAGGCAAGCCATGACAAAGGGGCATAAAAGTGATGTGGTTCTGTCTGGGAATGATCATTCTGTTTCGGGAATGGTTGGATCTGTAAAATACTGTAATTCTTAGCACTTTCTCAGAACATCTCAAAATTCTTTAAGGGAAGCCATGACAAAGGGGCATAAAAGTGATGCATATTATTGGTGTAAATAAGAGCTGAGTACTTTGAATCTGTCTATTTTGAATTGTACATTTCTTAGTTTGCTGAGATTTGATCCATGCTATTTTCCTTTTTGTGTCTGTTATGATCTAATTAGGATGCACAACTGTTGATATCTTGGGAGTTCCAATATCTGAAAAGAGAAGAGTAGATGTTACGAACTTACCCATCCTTAGTAATAACAGTTTTGATTTGGGAAGCAGAGATGACTTGTTTGATTTGTTAGCAACTTCATTTTCCATCTCCCAGGACAAAGCAAGAGGGTAGCGGGCTCAGCTGAATCTCTCCAGCCACTGTTCCCTGTATTTCTTCCCGTTTTCTTCTACTCTGTCTCTATCCAACAGCAAGCATAGACTCTATCAATCTTGAGGGTTCATGCTAGTCAAAGCTATTGGCGAACCCCACGAGAATTGTCTGTCCTCATGATAGCAGCTGCTTTTAGAGCGCAACGGTTCTGATGTCACAACTAGAGATGAGAGTATTCCTATTTGTATATGAATACCTCCACACCATTGGACGTGACAAGGGTCCGTCCCCCAGGGGCCAGACCATCCACTCACACATCCACTGCTGCCGCCAGCTGCTCCATTCTCCCTTCCAATCGCTCCGGAGCTCATGGTTGACTAGCCGTTCCTGGCAGAAGGAGGGACGATCAGTCTCCCTGCCAGGCTGACGAGTGGCTAGCCAACCACAAGCTCCATAGCGATTAGAAAGGAGAGTAGTGCTGCCAGTGGGAGTGGATGCCTGAGTGTACGGCCCGGCCCCAGGGAGCTGGACCCTTGTTACATCCAGCTGTTACATCTAGCTCTACTCACAACCAGTCCTGCTTGGACGCTTTGGATCAGGAAAGCTAGCAACGGAGGGATTATTAGACAGTTTTGGAAATCATCCCAATTATGCATTTTATTTTATTTAAAACCATTACAACCTGCCCTGTATCACAGAAGATCAGGGCAGGGGACAAAGCTGCCTAAAACCATTTTTTAAAATACAAGACATTTAAAACAATTTAAAATCAAAGACTTTAAAACACACAATAAAACGTTCTAACATTAACAGTCCTAGATCAAAGCAAACCTGAACGACATCCAGAGGCAAACCTGTTGAAACTGAGGCTGTCCTATTTTGGGCACCTCAAAAGAAGAGTTTTCAGAAAAGACCATAATGTTGGAAAAGGTAGAAGACAGCAAGGAAAGAGGAAGACCAACTACAAGATGGACTGACATCCTAAAGGAAGCCAATGCCTTGGATTTGCAAGAGCTGAGCAGGGCTGCTGAGGACAGGGCATTTTGGAGACGGCTCATTCATAGGGTCCCCCTAAGTCAGACGTCGAGATGGGCATGAACCTCAGTTCAGAGGTTCACGCTGGTTCATACCTACCTCCCTGGCTGGATCCTCCATTCACCAGCACGCTGGTTCCTACCTCCCTCCCTGGCTGGATCCTCCATTCACCAGCTGGTGCACACTCCCCTCCTCCTCTTTGGCTGTTCAACCAGTCTCCGGCAGGAGCAGGATCTTCCCTGCCCCGCCTCCTTGACTAATCACCCACTCAGACCAGGAGACAGGATGGGCAAATCTATGCTCCTGCCAAGGACTGGTTGAACAGCCGAAGAGAAGGAGCAGAGGATCGTGCTCCGACTGCTGAGCGGATCATTGACCCGGGAGGCGGGGCAATGGGTGGCACGAACTTCCGAACCAACGTTCATGCACATCTCTAGTCAGAAGTGACTAGATGCCACCTGACGGCAAAAACAACATTAAAACCATTGCACTAAAACATGATCTCCAACTCCCAAAGGCTATAATATAGGAGTATTTCTTGACTTAGGGACGTGGTGGCGCTGCGGGCTAAACCGCAGAAGCCTGTGCTGCAGGGTCAGAAGACCAGCAGTTGTAAGATCCAATTCCCGGGACGGAGAGAGCTCCCGTCGCTTGTCCCAGCTCCCGCCAACCTAGCGGTTCGAAAGCATGCAAATGCAAGTAGATAAATAGGGACCACCTCGGTGGGAAGGTAACAGCATTCCGTGTCTAAGTTGCACTGGCCATGTGACCACGGAAGATTGTCTTCAGACAAAACGCTGGCTCTACGGCTTGGAAACGGGGATGAGCACCACCCCCTAGAGTCGAACACGACTGGACAAAAATTGTCAAGGGGAACCTTTACCTTTTTATTTCTTGACTTAGCGCTTAACCGATGCCAGCGCCAGCACAGATCAAGCTTCCAAGAGGAGGACATTACACAAGTTATCTTTAGGAGAGGCTTTTGAATGTTGACCCTGGTGATGTTAAAAATCAGACTACTGTCCTGGATTTAATTTTATCTCCCCAAAACTGGAAGAAAATAGAGGCACAGAAACAAGAGAAGGGTACTGAGAAAATATGGGAAGTGCTAGAAATGGATATCTTTCCAGGCAGGCTGAATGTACGTCCAAGACAGAAGGAAATTGGAAAAGGGGATGTATTTTATAATTGGTCTCAATTTCCTGGTAGAGATGGAGTAACTTAAATTTAAATTAAAACATGAATATAAGTGGATATTTAGAGGATAACCAAACTCTCTCTCTCTCTCTCTCTCTCTCTCTGTGCGTGTGTGTGTAAAGAATACATAGTGTTTCTTTGCATTGAAAAAATGAATACATCAGAGGCATGTATACCTAATATGACTAGATCGGATGATCGTATACTCTGTGTTCTCCTATCCTTAAAACCCTTTTCCCATCCCTTACACTTCCTTTTACCTTTTGTATTCCCTACCCTATTCCTAGTAGTTTAAAAATAAAATATTTAAATAGTGAATGTTGACCCTGCTGCCAAGGAATTCCAGTTGAAGGCTTGGGGGGATGTGCTCGGTCCATGAGATCCAACCTTGCCCTTGCTTTATTTATATTGAGGTTGTGACTTAGATTTCCCCCCCCCAACAGTTCTCTGGAACTGAACATTGCAGAGACGAGGAGAGTGATGAAGGTCCTATTTTGTAGGGACGTCTCTCTGCCATTGCTAAGCAGGTTTCTGCATTCACCCAGGTTTACCTTGAAGACAGTCATTTAATAAAACATGGCTATGCATGGAAGCTTAAAAAATAACAACCCTTATTTTTCACGTCATCTCCTTTTAGGCCACCTCCGAGCCCTTCCGGAACCATGGCGGTCACTTCTGGACACGTTCATTACCACTCCATCCCAGTCTATGAGATGAAGTTTCCAGACCTTTGTGTGTATTGAGTGTCTTCTGGATTGAGCACCGACTGAAAGATTTTAAAGCTTCTCGGAAGCTAAGTTGGTGGTGTGTCCTCTCAGAGCGAGTCACATTTTACATTTCAATGTCATCCTTTAATTCCAAGATAAAGTGCATAGGTATCTTTTTTTAATTACTCATTGGAAGGAAAAACAATTTTCTCATTTCCTGTTTTTCTACGTGTTTTTGTTACATTTGGTATTCAAATTAAAAGGGTGGATTTTTTTTTTCACCATGACCTTTTGTTATAGGTTTAACATGTATATTTATCAAAACCATTTCTAATGCTACCTGTTCTTTTGATAGGTTTACAGCTCTTTTAAAACCTTTTCATTCTCTTAGATTTATATTTGTTTCGGCGGAGGCTTCCTCATAGCAAATGCCAAATGTGGTTTTCTTTCTGATTCGGTCTACAATCCCTTGCGTGCTGGGGGGAGAGTAAGCACCTTTGAACTCTGACAGACTCTGAGTATACATGCATGAACGTGGGCTATTAAAGTCCAAGTTCAAACATGTATAGTACATACTGAAACTTGTGACTTTCATAACCAGAACTTGGTATTGCCTGTTACAAAGGCTGTCAGGATAAGAGAGGAATTGAATTATATTACCATTGCTATTACAATTTCTGTTTGGTAGTAAGACCTCCATATCCGCAGGATCAGTTTCTTCTGATTCATATATCCACGGTCTGAATATATTTGAAAAATATTTTTTTTTAAAAAATCCTGGAAATATATATTTCTAAATATGAAGTTCCCAGAACTGGCCACTAGAGGGAACCAGAGACCATGCTATGTATCATGTTCACTAGAGAAATATGATGTTATTACCAGACCTGGCCACTGGAGGGAGCCAGAGACCATGATGTGTTTAGCATTTGCTATTTAAATAGTGTTAGCTATAATCTGCGTTTTTCAGCATCCACGGGGTGGGGAGCTTGGAACTGCTCCTCCATGCCATACAGTGGTCGTGCTGTACTTTTTTGTAGGATTTTTTTGGTTACTTTTAAAGTTGGTTTGAGATTGGTCAAAGAGTGGCATAATTCTTAAACTAAACCCTTACTTACTTCAGAAAGGGGACTTCCTCGTGCCTCGGCTGCTCCCGAGAGGGCAGTGTGTTTGAAATAGCTCTGCACTTGTTATTTATTTCCAAACTTCAGTCATGACCATCCTCTAAGGAATCTTGAGAGAACAATAGTATTGTGGGAAAACATGAACCCCCATGTTTGTCTCTTCCCAGACCTGTATCTCCCAGGTTTCTTTAATAAAGAGGAACTGGTAGCTAAAAGCAAGCTTGAAACATATTTTGAATTGAAGAAAGAAAAGTGAATTGAAGGAGAAAATGCATGCATGGGGGTGGGGGGAATGTATGCTCACATTTCCTCAGATAGAAAGCCCAATTTGGGAGCTGGGGCTATGTACAAGTGGGAAGAAATAGATTTAGCACATCCATTCTCCTGCCTACTCACCCCTCCCTTATTAGCAGTTTCAAACTCAGTTAAAGGTAAAGGTTCCCCTTGACATCTAGTCCAGTTGTGCCCGACTCCAGGGGGCAGTGCTCATCTCCATTTCCAAGCCGTAGAGCCAGTGTTTGTCCGTAGACAGTTTCCGTGGTCACGTGGCCAGCGTGACTAGACACGGAACGCTGTGACCTTCCCACCGAGATGGTCCCTATTTATCTACTTGCATTTGCATGCTTTTGAACTGCTAGGTGGGCAAGAGCTGGGACAAGCAACGGGGGCTCACTCTGTCGTGTGGATTCGATCTTACATATTTGTGAGTAGGGGAAGGAATAGATTTAGCACATCCATTCTCCCGCCTTCTCATCATTCCCTTATTAGCAGTTAACTCCTACTGAATTGCAATTTCAGTCCAGTAACGAACAGCTCTCTGATTTGCTTGCACGTGCCACTTGCTGGGTTAGGCCCCAGAAAAGACCGTAACTGTGTTTAGCGCTCTTCTTGTATAAACGTATACTATTTTGGAATACCTTTCCAATGGCAGCATTCTGCGTCATGATGTAGAACCCATTTTAAACATCCTTTTAGGAGGAAGGGTAAACAAAACGCAATTGTGTGTCTTGCCAAAAGTTGGAAGTTGTGAGTTGGAGCCCCATATCTGCGTGGGACTCCTCTCGCTGGCTGTGCCATGTACAGCTCCATGCGCAGGTGGAACTTTGTCTCCTGCGATTGTTGGTAATGAGCAGTGTTTGTTTCATATATGGGGCTGCATCCCAGGGAGTTTCTATGGGGAACTCAGAAATGTGCAATATTTTTTCAGAATTAAAGGAATATAGTTTCGTATGGATAACGATTTTCAAAACTGCAGAGTATTTTAATGCCACGTTCAAGGCAAATAAGGGAAAAGTTATATATTTGATATTGCAGGGGTCAAATAAAGAGGTTTTAGACAGGATTAATTGACGCATGTTGGCCTGGAAAACCAAATGCAATGTGATGTGACATCTCTGTATCGTTGAGTATGTCTCAAACCTATGTGGCTAAGAAGCACTTTCTGAAAATATGCGTAGCTTAGAATGTTGTTGTTGACCCATAGCATATTCTAAGGCTTTCTGGTTTGTATGTGTTTTGTTCGTTAATGGTTATGCTCAATTTCTATTACGTTGTGTATCTAGTATAAAATGTTGGCTACAAAAGTTAGAACGTGATTGATTGGTGTTATGTTTCAACCTGTGTAACAATGTACTGTCAATTAGGAGGGTTGTGGCCCTCGCAGCTCTGTAGATAAAGCAAAAGAGCCGCTTCATCCCACAGCTCTAACTTGCTAGACCGTTAAATCTGCAGCTGAGAACCAGTGCGTGCATCTAAATCCTTTTCCAATTCCCATTGTCCTTCAGATACAGTAGCCACCTTGGGTCTATTAAAGGAGAAATGTGGGATAGACCTTTTTAAAAAATAAATAAATAGGACCCCCCTTATCTGCAGGATCCGTATCCGAGGTTTCACTTACCTGTTGCCTGAAAATATTAAATAAATAATCCCAGAAAGACATATTGCTGGAACTGGCCACAACAGGAGACTATAGAGTCTATGCTATGTATAGGGTTTGCTATTATCCACTGTTTCTGGCATCCACGGTAGGCCTTGGAATATGTTCCCTGCAGATATGGCAGCCCTACTGTATAGATCCATCTGCAATTCCCAAGAAATCTGAAGGACACCACCTTGTGGAAGAGCGCCCTGCAGGATGTGCCCATGTTTCTGTAACCACCTAGATTCACTTCTTTTCATTCTGTTGGGTATCTTCTCCAATATTTAGAAGCAGCAGTTCTTGAGGGAAGAGGAAAGTGACTAGGAACAGCAAGAGGCTGGATAGAGCTCCCTCAAAAGCTACACAGATGTATTAGTTAAAAAACTGAATCCTGGCCAACATACAGCAGTGCTGATCTTTGGACATTGGAACCTTGATCAACTTTGCCTGCTTTACTCTTTCACTTTCATTATCCGGGTGTTAATTGTTTCTTTTAGCCAGAGGGTTATACACCTACTAATAACAGGCCATACACACTGCACCTTTTTCGTGCCAAACAGATGGCCATTCTTGAAAACCAGAAGCGGATGGCCAACCAGTGTGGGTTTTGCTTTGGTTAGTTGTCTGTGAGTCCCCCCCCCCTACCCTTTGGGAATGTCAGGGACACAAAAATTGACCTCTGAGCCTGCCAAAATTGCCCATTCCTGACTGGTCGAAGGTCCATCAGCTTCAATTAACAAGCCCCAAATCCTGTGTACAGTTTTCACCTCATATAGGTCCATCTGTGTGGTTTTAAATTAATTTGAAAGAAAGGTTCCAAGACTGGAGTCTGGCTTTTTATTATCCCTCATTTCTGCAGCTTCCTAGGTCTTGTAGAAAATTGTGAACTGAAAAGTACAGTTGTATCCATGCTTCAAAACTGACCTGTTGTTTGAAGCATAAATATGGTTACTTGAGTTATTTGATGCTCATGTTTTCTTGGTTTTACCTAAGCAACAGCTTTCATGAAAAGGCAGAACATGTATTCTGTAATCTCTTATATTTAAGCAAATAAACAAAACCAAAAAATGAAGATAAGCCTGCTACTAAATCTTTTATGCTGTGATTGTTTTCAGCTTTTAACATGTGTTGCCTCTCCCCATATAAAAGGATTGTTAATGGGTTATCCAAAAGGTGTAGCAAACACCTTTGTTTCAGTCCAAAAGAGAGCACGAATAATGGTAAAAAATTGCCCTTCCCAAAACTTTCCAGCATCAACATTGTCACCTCAAAAAAGTTTTTTAATCATCTTAAACATTGTGCTGTCTGGGGTGTGTGGATAAAGCTTGCTGTGCTGTTGAGGGGCTGCAAAAAGCCCCATGTCTCCCCTTTCCCCCCCAGAAAAACATTTTGACCACCAGACGGTGAAGGTGGGTTTATTTAGGAAAAAAAATGCAATTTAAAAATTTGCAAGGTAAGGATCACAGATGCAGCTCTTCAGACTTGAGTGATGGAATACTTTAATAACCTGTACACAAGTCCCCAATGAGAATTTCCTCTTCTCATTCTTTCCTTTTGGGGGAGAGGTGGCTAGGTGCTCTTGCGTAACTTTGTTGGCACTTCAAAAAAAAAGGGGGGGGAGATACGACATTATTCTGCCCAGAGGAGACCAGTGGAGATTGAAGTCCAACAAAGGATCACACCTTTCTCTATCATTTCAAGCCGTCACACCGCCTGAACCAATGTGAATGGATCTGCTGAGGGGAAAAGTGAAAACCTCAGTAGCGGAAGAAAAAAGAAACAGTGAATTTGAAAGGTTAAAAAAAACTTTGGGCTGATTTGAATTGGCTTTTACGTCATGTGATCGATGGGGGGAAGAATACAAAGCAGGCCGTTTCAATCCCATTGCATTTCCCACATTTTATGTCAGTATAGTCGCACCCTTAGACAGAGAACCAACAAGCTGCAAACAAGGCTATTTATCTTGTTTGTCAAGGGGTAGGTGTGGACTTTCCTTGCGTGGCGTGCACGCCTCTCCTTCTCCTTCTAGAAATGACCTTTGCAGTGCCTGCCTCCTCGCTGCTGCTCTCTTCCTCGCTGGAAGCTGTGCCACCAATCCCGGTGCCACTCGGGGGCCTTCCCTGCCCTCCGCTGCGGCAAGCCATTTTGTCCCCATGGCAAGCTTGTCTGTGAGGAGAGCTCAGGCTTTCGTTGAATGCTGCCGCCGCCATGCACTCTGCTGCAGCCTTATCACAGGAGCAGAGGAGCTTTTCACACATTGTCCATCCAATACCTAGAAGAGAGTAAAAAACATTCTGCAAACTACCTAGGCTTTTGTCTAAAATCTTTAGACTAAAAATCGAGGATGGTCTTATACACGGAATTAAGCTGAGGAGAATACAAAAACAAGTGGAGTGGAAAGCAGGGATCAAAGCAATCCTGCAGCGCTTTGATCCCTTTTCCCCCTACACTTGCTAAGCCCCACTTAGATTTCTTAATTTTGGATTAGAAAAGTGGGGGGCGTCTTATACATGGGGGAGTCTTATACGTGAAAAAAATACGGCATTTGCAATAGCAAACCAAAACTAGAATGGAGACACCAGAGAAGAGAAACCACAGAATACCAGTGGTTAACTTTTCCCTTTTTTATGTTTCTATGGAACCCGAAGCCTTTCATCCCTCTGTCACTTTTAGAGCCCTTCCTCAGAGGTGACAATGAAATATTAAAATACATTTTAACACGTAACTACCATTTTAAAGCTCATTAAAACACAATTAGGTTATGTAATGCTTAACAACTAGTAATAAAAACTGAGAATCTTTCCATAAAGAATTACATATTCATGAAACGAGATTTTCGCCATCACACCGAAATCAAACACTGGAGAACCAGAATTGAAGGCTACACTCTTATATAATGAAAAGAGCTGAAGTTGTTGCCACTGTCATCATCAAGAGCTTCGGGGAGTGCCTCTAAAGAAAAATCTCATACGAAATAGGCTGTAAAGCCAAGAACAAGACCAGGGAGTACCTCCTAATTACATCTGGCTAAAACTTTCTCTCCCAGTGTTATGGCAGTGACAGAGCTTGGAAAGTTACTTTTTTTGGACTATAATTCCCAGAATCCCAGAACTAACATGGTCCAAGTCGTTAATACAGTGGTGCCTCGCTTAGCGATGTTAATTCATTCCGAAAAACGCTCCGAAAAAGTCGTCACTAAGCGATTTCATCGCTAAACAGAGCACCCGTTAAGCGAGGCACCACTGTATTTATTTTACAATGAAAGCAGTCCCAATGCTGTTTGGGACCTGCAAAGGTTCATGGGAGGAGTAGTTCTGTTAGAGGCACCCAAGAGATATCATAACTAGGTTCCCGTTAACCCTTGCAAGTCCGAGATAGCCTTAGGACGCCCATGTTGCACCCGGGCAGTTTCCTTACTGTATGAAGCAGAAGCAACCTGGAAAGAACATGGAAAGAGTAAAGGCTGCTTTGATGTCTCCTAGTTTTGGGGCTCCCACTCCTGGAATTCTGCCTGGGGTGGGGGGTATTTTGGCTGCATTCTGGGAGTATGTTTCCTAAAATCAACAAAGCCCCATCCCTAGTTCTTATGAGCTCATCAACCAGTATGGCCAGTGAGCCTAGTAGTTGGGAAATTCCCGGAATTATGGTCATAAAAAACTGATCCAGGATCCTGGTAGAAGGAATGACTTCTGTTCGCCGTTCATCCCAGACTTACACTTTGGTGCATGATCAAAACACACCACTTCAGACCTTGAATTTCTTTCCGGATGGCAGCCCAGTTTTTTAACTTGCTCCAAGCAGCAGTGATGGGAGAAACAGCACCTTCAGTTAAAGCAGAAAGTACCACAACATTACCACACCAAAGCGACACTCAATCCCTCAAAACCTCTCCGGTGCAGAGACGGTTTTCGTTGTTATAAAGGAGAGATGGACAAAAAGTGAGCCGTGGCTCTCCACATCGAGCCTTCAGTCCTCCAGCACCCCAATAAATTGAAAAATTAGGCCCCCGTGCACCTTTGTGACATGCAACTTGCACTGTATGCTCCATTTCTCCTCGTTTCTCATTTTTCATGGCTTCCTACGTCTAGGGAAAAAAAAGACCTTGAAGATCTAAAACAGGCCTGAGAGGGAGTTGGGGTTTTTTGTCTCCAAATTGCTCCTGGAAGGCGGGGGGGGGAGGGGATGCAATTTGGAATTTTAAGGCAAAAGAAATTCCCTTGAGTGTTTTTGAGGAGTGTTTGGAAGGGTTGCAGCCCAGCTAAGTTCCCGGGGAAAGCCACGGCCTATCTCAGCTCTTGGTAAGTCGGCCATCAAAGCTTTCCACCTTCCTTTGGTGAGATCTTGGACATTATTCCACATGGAGGCTGAGATGAAGACAAAGGATGCATGGAGGGGAATGGAAATCAAATGAATGTTGGGTTTCTCACTGCCAAAGAGACTTAAACTCCTGTGATCCCCAGCAGTTCTTTTAGTAATAGATATATTATGGAGCAGGGCTCACTTATACTCTCTCCACATTTTGATCCTACTCTCTTGGGTTATTTTTTAATTTTTATTTGCAGCTGCTGAAAAATATATATTAGCAAATGCTTTATATGAACAGACATAGTATAAAAGCAGATCTTGATGGTGAGTACTACAAAATCTGCTGGAACTGTGTCTCTACAGGTAGCACAGTTACTCCTCTGAGGGAACTACAGTAACATGTCTCCAAATTCTGTGCACTTGCATGGAAAACCAAATGTTCCACGGCCATGTTTAGGCCAAACTTCAAAGATGGCTAGCTAAAAATAGGTAAAGGTAACGGTTCCCCTTGTGGCCATGTTTAGGCCAAACTTTAAAGATGGCTGGCTAAAAAAAGGTAAAGGTTCCCTGTGACATTTAGTCCAGTTGTGTCCACTTCTAGGGGACAGTGCTCACCCCCGTCTCCAAGCCATAGAGCCAGCGTTTGCCCGAAGACAGTTTCTGTGGTCACGTGGCCAGTGCAACTAGACACAGAACGCCTTTACCTTCCCACCGAGGTGGTAACTATTTATCTACTCAAATTTTTACATGCTTTCAAACTGCTAGGTTGGCCGGAGCTGGGACAAGCGACGGGAGCTCACTCCGTTTCATGCATTTGATCTTACAACTGCTGGTCTTCTGACCTTGCAGCCCAGAGGCTTCTGCAGTTTAACCTGCAGTGCCACCACATCCCAGATGGTCCCCTAAAAATACCCCACACCTAACTGACTGCTGATTGGAAAATTTGATCTCCTTAGACCAGCGGTTCCCTACCGTGGGTCCCTTGGACTACAACTCCCAGAAATCCTAGCCAGCACAGCTAGTGGTGAAGGCTTCTGGGAGTGTTAGTTTAGTTTAGGTAGAGTATTTCAACTAAGGAGATGGTTATTGCCTCTCCTCTAAGGCAGCAACCAACGCCTTAGAGGAAATATTCTGCCTCCCACTTTCAAGTGTTCCTGTAGAAAAAAACTAAAAATTAACCGTGTTGCCTGACACAGGTCAATGAGAGGTACGAGGAACTGGATTTCTGAATGCTGATTTGGATCCAAAGCAGGATGGATCCGTTCCCAACTGGCCTGAAGCAAATCAGGGCTGAATCCAAATAACTGAATCTGGTACTAGAGGTAATTGCGGGGAGGGGGTCCCTTAAACATCCCTGGTGATGAGCCTTTGGCGCATACTACCTGTCCAGTTCATCACTTGGGTGGCCTCTTCCCTCCTGGCCACAGTAGCAGCCGTACAATTCAAACTCTTCCGGGCATCGGTCAGTTAAGCAATAGAGCATTTCCCCCAGTTGGGGTAGGACTCTCTTCACTATTCCATTTTCTCTCAGTTGCAGGAAAGTAAAACGGTCACAAACTATAGAAGAAAGAAAATATGTAATTATCAAGCTTCAAATGCTTCAGCTCATACTATCCTGGATCTTTCTCTCCTGCCACCTACAAGTACATCTCAGATCTCCTCCAGAGCATCTCCAACCCCACCACTCTTGCTGGCTTCTGAAAGCTGTAGTTTAAGAAGAAGAAATCCAAACTTTAATTCATGCAGAGACTCTGTTCTCTTGGCAGATAGATATAACCCTCTGGCTGAAATCCTTTTGCATAAATTAAGCCTGTGGAAGGGTAATGATGTCACCAGAAGGGGCAGATTTACAGTTAATTAGGAACTTTTTCCTTCTTTTCTATGGCTTCTCCAACTCAACTCGAAAGTGATCCTTAGAAGGAGGAAAACTTTAATTACTAACAATCTCCTCCTGCCAATAATGTCTTCCAGCTATGGCAATGTTTGATAATGAAAGATGTCCTTCTTTTGTCCTAAAGTTTCCATTGCTTCCATGTTATGAAAGGGATGATTTGCAAGTTGGATGAGCTGCAAGGATGGGGGAAGCCTTTACCAAAATCCTCTCTTGCTGATGATGTCATCACTCTTCAGCAGGCATAACTTGTGCAAGAAGATTTTGGTCTCTGTGTACGATTGAAGAAGAAGCACTAAAAGTTCCATGAACCTTTAAATAGATGAGAAATAGTCTGGTGTCTCCCTTTGTGAAATATTCATAAATAAAGTTGTGGCTTGCTTGAAGCCAGATCCTTATGCATCTTAATTTTCACGTTTCCACTCCTCACTTAAATTAATTTGCATGAAAGTGGCAACTTACACAAATGATACAGCATTTCTCACTGCCTTCTTCCAATTAAAGTAATGATTCTAGTGCAATCTTCTCTTACCTTCTCCAAAGGATTCCTCAAGATCGGGTGTCTCTTCTGGAGCCATTGTGGGAAAGAGACCTTCTTCTCCAGCTATCTTGAAATCACCCACTGAAGATAAGAGAAAAGGGGTCTGTGTTTTTTTTAGAGCTGAAAGCTTCAATCATTTAGCTGGCCAGCAGAAATCAAACAGAATAAGTCGTCTTGTGGCATCATGGAAACATATGTTTATCATGGGTTAAGCTTTCTTGGGCCAGAAATTGAACATGAAAAACGCTACTTTTTTTGGACTATAGCACCTGGAAACTTTCAAGCTAGTATGGCTACAGTATTGTTTGTTTGTTTGTTTAACTTATATGCTAGTATTGTTTGTTTGTTTAACTTATATGCCGCCCACACTACCCAAAGGTCTCTGGGCGGCTTACAACAATTAAAATACGATAAAAAGGTTAAAGCAATTAAAATGCAATTAAAATAGCTACTCTAGAAATTGCCAAGCTGATATTATTTCAATTAAAAGCCTTCTGGAACAGGAAGGTTTTGACCTGGCACCAAAATGTTATCAAAGTTGGCGCCAGACGAATTCCAGTCGGGAGGGTGTTCCATAGTCTGAGGGCAGCTGCCGAGAAGGCCCTTTGTCTACAAGCCATCCCTCTTACCTCCTTGAGGGACGGATCTTTCAAAAGGGCCCCCTGGCTAGATCTTAACTGCCGGGTAGGCTCATATGGAAGGAGGCAGTCCTTCAGGTATTTCTGAATTTGGAGCTATAGTTCAAAAAATGTAACTTTTCTAAGTTCTAACTCCAAAGCCTGTTTTGTCAACTGAGCTAAAGGCGTGCCATTTGGGTTATTTTGGGCTTCAGCTCCCAGAGTTCTTCAAAAAATTTCCCACTCAGATTTCTGGGAGATTCTAAGCCACAGACACAGATAATTTCACTCGCCTGGAGCAGGCCCCATCGTGCAGGTTTACTCAGGCCTAGTCCCTGTATGAAAAGGGAACAGCCCCAGTATTTCCTAAGAGGCCTAGGACTTCATAGGAGCTATAGGCTCACTGCCTATTAGGGTCCATTGGAGAACTGTATCTCCGGGGCAGTTTTCTTTTTCTACAGGAAATACGTCAAAGGCAGATTTGCAGGGAAAGCCTATTCCATATGATTGAAATATAGATAAGGGTCTGTAGACAGGAAGCCTCAAAATTCTGCCTGTTGCAATAAAACAAAAACAAAAACCACATGTCTACACACAGCCTGTGCGTATGAAGAGTAAAAAGAAGTCAAGGAGTAGAGAGAGAAAACCATCCCCACATTCAAATGCTTCGAAATGTGTTCATATGTTTAGCACTGATGTTTGTAAGGGGCTTATCAGAACATTCAACTACAGTGGGGTCTCGACTTACGAACGGTTCTACATACGAACTTTTCGACTTACGAACCGCTCTCATAGGAATATATGGACTCGACTTGCAAACTTAGATTCAAGTTACGAACTCTTTTCTTTCCTTTTTTAAAAATCTAAGTCACCTTAGGTTAAAAGGAAAAAAGAAAAAATATCCCCCTCTAGTGGCAGAAGGCGGAATAGCAGCTTCCCATTAGTTTCTATGGACGTAAAAGAGCAGATACGGATTAAATGGTTTTCAATGCATTCCTATGGGAAATGCAAATTCGACTTAAGAACTTTTCAACCTGAGAACCACCCACTGTACATGCACTAACAGCCTTCCAAACTGTAGCCGGCAAGAGTTTTCCACACCACCAAACATTAACATGAAAATGCAATGTATCTGTGGATGCGAAGAGTGCCGGATAATTCTAAATTCTTCTATTCTTGCCCATTTAGGCTGTCTTGGCCTGAAGAAACAGCCCTATAATTGCAATTCCTGCCTTGAGAAAGGGGTTGGAATCTATAGCCTTGTTAGGCCCCTTCCAACTTCAATATTCTGTCATTCTATGGTAATGAATGTTCAGGCCTTGAGCAATCTCTTGCTTTCAAGAGTGGTGTTTTGTTTTTTTCTTGCTGAGGGGTTCATAATTTGTACAAACTATCTCTGTGCAAAACTAGTGCCTTTTCCTTTTGAGAAACAAAGCACACACAGGCAAACATACAAACAAACACACACAATTATGCACGGAATGGTTGCTAAAAATGGCAGCCACTTCCAAACATCAGTGCTAAATTTTAAAAGTCAACATGACAAAGCAGCCACCTTCCTTGCAATTTTCACAGTTCATGATGATGGCATTAAAGCATTTGTGTAATTTGTGCAATTTTCTTTAATTTCTGCAAGAGAGGTTCTTCAGAGGGAGGTCCTTTGCTTTCAAGAGTACTGTTTTTTTTTTTCTTGCTGAGGGGTTCATAATTTGTACAAACTCTCTCTGTGCAAAACTAGTGCCTTTTCCTTTTGAGAAACAAAGCACACACAGGCAAACATACAAACAAACACACACAATTATGCACGGAATGGCTGCTAAAAATGGCAGCCACTTCCAAACATCAGTGCTAAATTTTAAAAGTCAACATGACAAAGCAGCCACCTTCCTTGCAATTTTCACAGTTCATGATGATGGCATTAAAGCATTTGTGTAATTTGTGCAATTTTCTTTAATTTCTGCAAGAGAGGTTCTTCAGAGGGAGGTCCGGAAGGAAAGAACAAGGAAGTGGGCCTTCTCGGCAGTGGCCCCTCGCCTTTGGAACAACTTGCCACTGGAGATCCGCCTGGCTCCCTCTTTGGGTGTTTTCAGGAACAAACTTAAAACCTGGCTATTTGAGCAGGCTTTCCTTCCTGCCGTATTTTAATTTCTTATACTTTTGCCATCTTAGATTTAGAATATATGCTTATTGGTTTTATTGTTTTTAAATTTGTAAGCCGTCCAGATTAGACCTTTGGTCTAGATGGGCGGGACAGAAATCTAATAAATAAATAATAAATAAATTATTCCCTTGTCTCGTTTAGAGCACTGTAAAATACCTCACCTTCTCATGGGATGAGGAAAACGATTTCATGCTTTCTCATCCTTCCATGAGAGAGAAAACAAGCAAGGGTTTAGAAGCCAAATTATACACCACAGTTCCAAATAAGATGGGAGGTTCCTAAGAAAATCAGGAGGAAACTTTAGATGGCTTTCTCTCTAAAATGGAGACCAGAGGATTTAGGTTTTCACCTACCATTCCCTGTTGATTTCCCCAGAGGATCTGAAGTTGGCACCAATTGATGTTGTGTGGAGCTAATACTTAATGGATCAGAAGTGGTTCTGCCTGTGACGAAATCTTTCCTGGATAGCCCTGGGGAAAAAATTAGTATGTTCTATACGTACTTTTAAGCAGACCTGGGCAAAATGTGGCCCTCCAGATGTTGCTGAACTTCAACTCCCAGCAATCTTAGCCCACACAGCCAATAGTGAGGAGTGTTGGGATTTGCAGTTCAGCAACATCTGGAGGACCGCACTTTGCCCAGGTCTGCTTAAGCAAAGATTTTGACAGATGTTTCATTCAGCCACATATATCTGGCCTTCCAAATAATCTCTTTCAAATAATATCCCTCCATAAATAAGATGCTAACACAGTTTAAAAAGTGCGCTAAAAGATTTATGGCAAGAAGATCTGAATGAAGAAATAAAAGTGGAAGATTGGAGTCAACTGTGGAACAAAAAATTAATGGAAAATATGTCTGTAATGGTGAAGGGAAATTGTTATAAGTTAGTTTGGAGATGGCATATAATAACAGTAAAGCGGAATTTAATAAATAAAGATATACCTTCCCTGTGTTGGAAATGCAAAAAAAGAGAAAAGAAAAGGGGACATATATATATCACTGATCATTCCTTCGTCCTTATTTCACATAATCACCATATATGTATATATGTATACATGTATGTATGTATGTATGTATGTATGTATGTATGTATGTATGTATGTATGTATGTATGTATGTATGTATGTATGTATGTATGTATGTATGTATGTATTCATGGATTGCTGCCTTGTTGTGGCGAAGGGGCTTGAGTAACAAGTGGAAGATATATATATATATATATATGGTGATTATGTGAAATAAGGACAAAGGAATGATCAGTGATTTTAAAGGAGAGAAGAGAAATGATGGGTGTGGAGGTACAAATGTCCCCAAAGATTGCCTTGTTGAATTTGGTTAATGATAATCAACTGAAGAGAGAAGAAATTTAATTAATTACTATAATGGTGGTGGTGGCAAAATTAACATTTGCAAAAAAAAATCATCATCTAATAATCAAATTACTATGGAGGAGTGGTAATGAGAAATGTGGAATATGTCAATTAATGATAAACTAACCTGCGAAATTAAGATTAGAAGACGAGTGACAAAAAGTAATGATTTTAAACAAATATGGAATTTGTTTTTTGGTACATGTGTTGCAGAAAGAGAAGGGAGCATAGACCAGGAGAAGAGTCAATGTATTACTGGAGAGAAATGGGAAGATCTGAAATATGAGAATGAAGAATTAGTCCCAAGTGGGGGGTGGGTGGGTTAGACAATGGTAATGAAGAGGAGATGGTTAAGTCATAAGGGGATATATGACAATGAGTTTTAAAATAGTAGTTTTTGCATATGTTTTTCTTTTCTGTTTAATTAAAAATTTAAAAATCATTTAAAAGAAAGAGTGCCCAGCCCAAAATCACAAAAATGCTGGTCTAGCGCCACAGCTCCCAATCCCCCTTCTTTTGATCCCATCCCCTGCCGATCCTCAACTCTGCTTTTATGGTTCTTTATAAAGCTGGTGGGCGATTTAAACTCTTGAATGGTGTTAGGGAAAAGGGAGAGTCTGCCAAAGTTCTCCATAAGGTACAAACAAATAGACACATTCGGCAGAAACAGAATGGTCTGCTGCAATTTGTCAGAGTTGTTTCTGTTTCACAACAATTTCTGTCTTTTTTTCTCTCGTCAGTGCAGAAGTGGCTTAGCGCTAAGCTGATCTATCTATGCATTGATGAGGTGATCTAGCACTCAGTAAATGTGTTTGTGTGTCAGGGTGACCAGGGAGAAAGTTTGTGGAGGTGGGTATTCCCATTATGAAAAACATCACACCAAGATCAATACACCATCAGAATAACATCCACAGTCCCACCACTTTTGTCCTTTTGGAGAACAAAACAACTGATCACATGGGGAAAGCACAGTTCAAATCACTCTGGCTTGAAAAAAAAGGAGCAACTCCAGTGGCAGGGGGATGAAAATCACCCATTTAATTCATCAAGAAGACTGTGAAACGAACTTGTCCTATTCAACAAACAGCATGCGCTGCACTTCAAGTAGCCAAATGAAAATGTAAGTTTTATTATCTCTATTCCAGCGTGTGCAACCTGAGAATCGGGGGAAAGCAAAAAAAAGAAAAGAGGGGGTGCCAAAAATACTAAAAAAGAGATGGGAGGAGACGTCAGAACGGGTGATTAGAAATTTCAGTGATGATGTACTCAATGCATTAGAAAAATGAAATGTTGTCTGGTGAATTTTGCCTTGTTTCTATGCCTATTTCGATGGAATGTCACAGACGGAAACCAGGTTGGTGGAAAGGGAAGGAGAAAAAACAGCTGATTCGAAGCATTTTCCAGCAGCATGGTATGAACACGGGGGATAAAGGAGGGGAAGTAATTAAACTGATGGATTTGGGGTTCCCTCTTTCTGTTTGTAATGTAAAAGAAGCAGTTTGTGATAGACATTATTCCTACATACGTACCTCCTTCACTCAGGGTAAGGCTTCCATCGCTTTCCATGCCGGGAGTGACTGTTTAAAAGGCAAAGAAATTAGCAAGGGAACAAAAGCTTTGTAACAAACTGATGGTGTACAGCCTTCATTATGGACTAAGTTTTGCCATCAGTCTCCATCCAAGACTCATGAGTATTTGATAGAGAAGTGATGCAGACACACACAAGCTGCATCATTGACTCCTACATGGACCCTAAGTGGGTATATGGAATATTTGATAAGTGATACAAACACACACACGCTGCATCATTGAATCCTACATGGACCCTAAGTGGGTATATGGATGAAGGTCTACCATGGACCATATGACAGAGTATTTCATGCAGTATTTGCTCTATCGTAAGCTAATGTTTATCAAGGAACTTGATACAAAGTTAGTGGCCTGTATCACAGACCAAGATCCATCACAGATCTGCTGGTGTAATATCTGGTGGACCAACTGCTTAATCAGAAATCTCTATCTCAGAACAAAGTCTATCAATAATCTCTATATAGTCCAAGGGTGTTGGACCTTGATAGGGTTTCCACTAACAATTTCAATTTCTTATCCTCTCCACCCTATACTTTGTCCATGTAATAAATGGAACCTGCAATTAAAATATTAGTCATATCGTCCTTCATTAGGGTGTGCTATCACAAGAAGACATGAATAACAGGAGTACTAGCCAAGGAGATAAACTTGCCTCCTTCCTCCAGGCCTTTTAGGAAGAGGTCACTGATCTCTGAAGGTGTGTCTGGGAAATGAAAAGAAAAGATGAATATTCTCTGGCAGGACTCTTGCTCTGCAGCATACTTAACAAAATGGTTAATTGTACCCCATTTATGATATGAGTTGCAATGTTATGTTAAAAAGAATGTTTTTCTTAAGATCAACTAAGTATTTAGTCAGAGATTAGTTTAGAATATTTCTAATTATATTAACAAAATAGGTAAAGTTCCCCTTGACATTTAGTCCAGTCATGTCCGACTCTAGGGCACGGTGCTCATCCCAGTCTCCAAGCCGTAGAGCCAGCGTTTGTCTGAAGACAATCTTCCATGGTCACGTGGCCAGCGCGACTAGACACAGAAAGCTGTTACCTTCCCACCGTGGTGGTACTTATTTATCTACTCGCATTTATATGCTTTCGAACTGCTAGGTTGGCAGGAGCTGGGACAAGTGATGGGAGCTCTCTCCATCACATGGATCCGATCTTACAACTGCTGGTCTTCTGACCTCGCAGCACAGAGGCTTCAGCGGTTTAACCCACAGCGCCACCACAGTGCCATTTGTCCCTAAATGTTTTCATGTTTTTAAATGACATTTCAGATTATACTATTATTCATATCTCTATAGTGTGCAATGACAACAGAGGATGAGATGGTTGGATGGTGTCATTAAAGCGACCAACATGAATCTGACACAACTCCGGGAGGCAGTGGAAGACAGGAGGGTCTGGCGTGCTCTGGTCCATGGGGTCACGAAGAGTCGGACACGACTTAACGACTAAACAACAACAATAGTGTGCAACACAACACAATCTTCAAAGTATTTGCAATAGCCAAAGGCTGCCACAGTACCTCTTCCACTCTGTATTTCAAGGCCTTTGTCACTCGGTATACCTGAAGTAACTGTTTAAAGGGAAACAAAAACTAATTAACCCAGATATTTTGGTCAAGAAAATCAAGTACCTTCCTAACAAGTACATTTTACCTGTTTTAATTATTCAGCATATTCAATTGTTTTTATAGTTTTTTAAAAAATGTATATCACACTCTGTTTTTAATTCTGTTCTTGTTAATACTGTGAGCCGCTTTTAAGTCCCATTATTGGAAGAAGGGCGGCCTATGAAACAAACATACAAGCTTTAGAACAAATTAGACATATAAATGGCACAAATGAAAATTATGGCTGTGAACATTTGATCCGAGCTCCATAAACCTTTGCAACCATTCCACTAGTAGGTGGTGGAAATAGGTGTAAGATACACAAGAGATGAGGTTACGCCTGTGAGAATAGGCAAGTTTAATGACCACACAGAACTCTGCTTTGCAATATATGTACCATATGTGGAATAACATGCTTGTGTTCTGCTGTGGTCATTCCATTTCTGAGAACAACTCAATTGTACACAAACATAGCTTGAGACTTGGCTATCTGAAGGATTACATATTCCAGCCTTGTCTTTAGCCAATTCCACTCCAAAACTGTTGGAGTAAAAGTTGTATTCTCTCCGGCTACAGTGGGGTCTTGACTTAAGAACGGCTCGAGTTAAGAACATTTTGACTTAAGAACCGCTCTCATAGGAAAATATTGACTTGACTTAAGTACTTAGATTTGAGTTAAGAACTGAAAAAAACCCACGTGGGAGGCAGGGAAAGTGCAAAAAGTGAACTTTCAGTTAACTGTTGGCCAGTGAAAAGGGTGCCTGTCTGCTTCCTCACTCCTCCCAGCGTTTAGAGAGTGGATTGGGAGACAGTCTTCGGACTGCCTGGTACTGTACTGCCTGGACTGTATTTTCCCTGCCTTCCCTGAACCTTTCTTGACCTAAGAAAAAAAGAAACAAAATATCCCCCTCTAGTGGTCAAAGGCAGAATAGCAGCTTCCCATTAGTTTCTATGGACGGAAAAGAGCAGATACGGATCAAATGGTTTTCAATGCATTCCTATGGGAAATGCAGATTTGACTTGAGAACTTTTTGACTTGAGAACCACCTTCCAATACAGATTAAGTTCTCAAGTCAAGACCCCACTGTAATATGGTCAATAAAACTACACATGGCAAAGGAAGAAACATGGAGCTGCTCATAACACCCATATGCAGCTGGTTGGGTGGAAAAGTGACTTTACCTGTACTCACATGTCAATTTTCTCCCTACAAATCCCCCCATTCCATTTTTTTAAAAAAACTCTTTCAGCCATGCTGCATGGACAGATATTTTAGAAGCATGGATTTGGAGGAGAGAACGGGCAGGTCTGTGAAGGACTGAATACAGTAGGACCACACACACACACCCATATCAGCGGGATCAGTATCAGCTG